AACTTCCAAGCAATGCTGCTACAGCCCAACAAGAAGAACATGAAGAAACTGAGGGAAGTTCTGTACGATCTTTATAAGCACCTGGACAGCAGCGCAGCTGCTATTATTGACGTAAGTTTACTGTTGGCCCTAGGCTGTGTTTTTATGATGTGTGGTTTAAATAATTTAAGGAATTATTTGAGCTTTTGTGGCATTTACAGCATTTTCAACAACAGTCGCATTCCAAAAGTACAAATTCCATAGGTTATTTCCATATTGATAACATCAGTAGTTTCCACAGGATTTTGTGAGACCTCGTTCCCTCTAGGGTGCAAAACTCAGTTCCTGGAGGGCCACAGCTCTGCAGAGTTTAGTTTCAATCCTAATTAAAAGCTACCTAAAATCCTAAACCTAAAATTACCTGATCCAGCCATTTAAGTCCTTCAGGCTTATTTGAAAACTACAGGTATGCGTGTTGGATCAGGGTTGAACTAAACTGTGCAGGGCTATTGCCCATCAGGAACTGAGTTTTGCACCCCTGCTCTAGGGGGTTCTGAGCATTAGATATCCATAATAAAGGCTAGATGTCTTATGGCGGAGTCTCTATCGTCATCACCGGCGGCCATCTTGTCACAGGCAAGCTTTCTGGCGGGCTCTGTGGTGCCTGATGTAAGATGACTGATCAGCACGAACACAAATACTCTTATGTTGAAATCTTGACGGATTTACAAACGGTTTGGTTTCTTACAAACGTTATTAATGTGGCTATAATTCTGGATGATTATTAATTGATACACTTATTATTCATAAGTTTGCAGTGTCATAACTACATATCTGACGTTTATAACAAACCAAACCGTTTGAAAATCGGTAGAAAATTGAGCAAGTTATGGTTATTTAAAAGGTACATGCACCGTTAAAACACAATGTTACGAGTGAGCGAGCTGCCTGTGACAAGATGGCCGCCAGGTGCGGACGTCCACCTCCATTGGCCAGCAGCGCGGACGAGACATCTAGCCTTTATTATGGATATCTATGGTTCTGAGGGCATGCCCAGCTCCCCTGCATTCATTCACTGTGAACTGAGCCTTTCTGAGACACAGAAAACACCAGGGGCCTCATTTATAAAACTTTGCGTAGGATTTGCGTCAGAAGTGGCGTACGGATGAAACATAGGACGTGCGTACGCACAGAAATATTCGGATTTATAAAACCGTGCGCACGCACATCCTACGCATTTTTCCCTTAATAAATCACAATCAATTCTAAATTTAGCGCAGCTTTTGCGGCTTCATGTCACGCCCATAGTTGCCCATAAATAGTCCGTGAAACGCCCACAAGTTAATATTCATCTTTTGCGAAATCATGGCAAACATAGAGAGGAAATCAAAAAAACGTAACTTCACTCAATGTGAAGTAGAAGTTATCATTGGCGAGGTGGAAAAGAGGAGAAAAATGTTGTTTGGAGGGCACAGTGTGGGCATTAGCCTACTAATGCCAAAAAGGCACTTGAGTGGCAAAAGGTTGCAGACGCCGTATGCTGTAGCCTCACAACCTCGGACTGTGGCCGAAATAAAAAAGAAATGACAAGCTACAGATGTCGGTTATAATCTACTTGGAAATGGGAAATAGTTCAGCGCAAATGTAATTTCTTGCAGCTTTCTGAATGGTTGAGACATACGTCATACGTTATTTTATCAAAAATAAAACAAACTAAAGGCATATGCATGAAATACCTGCATGAATAGACATTTTTACTATGAAAACAACTTTCCCCAGTGTACATCATGTATCAAATAATACATCTATTTATCTATCTATCTCTCCCTAATTATCTATCTGACTGACTATCTAGCTATATCTGCTCCGACAGACGGACACATTGGCGAGAATATCAGTTTTGTACATTATTTCGTTCTGTTTACCATCTTATTTATGAGGATGAATTGTATAACATGCCAATATTATTGCAGAACATAACGGTCTACAGTTTCACACACTTTCACGTGTTTCTTCCATCTGCCGACGGTGTCGCCATTTCTCATTTCACCCGTTTTTGTGCGTACGCCTGGGTCAGAGCTTGCGTGAAGGACCGCACATTTTACCGTCAAGTTTGCTTTTTATAAATACCAATTATTGCGTAGAGAGCGGCGTACGCCTTCTTTTGTGCGTACGCAACGTTTATAAATGAGGCCCCAGATCATGAGTTTATCGCATGAGCAAAGTGCGCACTTTGCTTTGAAACATATATACTTATTTAATTAAATCACAGTCTTTTGCGATTTGGTAATGGCACAAAGCCATATCTCGCTTTTAATTTTAGTTCGTTTGACAGATACTTTGCCAAAGGAAAGTTATGAGAAGTTTTAAGATATTTTCGATTCATTATGAAACTCTGGCGGCATAAATTAGACTAGCAGGCTGACATAGTTTAGGTAATTAATAGGAAACACTGTAACATATAAAGCAGTTTTTGGCTGCTGAAAAAGTGTGCATGGCCTGTTTAAAGTCAGCATGAAACCAAATTTGCGATTAGTATTTTGTTCCCTATTGTGACATATATCTGAGTAAAACAGTTTCTGGAATAAAAAATGTAGGGTGGGACTTTATTTTGTTCATGGAGAATTGTGGTTTGCTATTGTTCAATCTCATGTTGTCACGCCAATTAACACGTCATCAGAGAAGAGATGTTGCTGCAAGAGGGAGGGGAAGTTATTTTGATTAAACGCGAATAAAAAAAAAAAAAAATGTGAACGGATAAAAAACTTGTAGCTAATACTGCAATGTTCCACAAAAAACATTTCATGGTAACTTAAAATAAGTTGTCTTTTTCCTGTTCCAGCAATCTGCCATGGACATTCCTGGCTTGAACCTCAGCCAGCAAGAATATTATCCCTACGTGTACTACAAAATCGACTGCAACCTGCTGGACTTCAAATAGAAGAAGCATACTCAAATCATGTGCCCCTCTTTTTGTCTCTGTGAATAAATCTAAGTTAAATTAAACTGTATATTGCTGAACTCTCGTTCTAGTCACCCTGTCATGCATGCTTATCCATATTCAGAGATACTTCTCATTGCTGTTCATCAATGACGGCAGGAGAGTGTCTATATCTGCCGCCGCTAGTACGTTGTTTACATATTTTTTTTAAGAATGTCATTGTGTTATCATATGTGCTGGTGAATGAAATTAAGGATTTTAAGTCATTCCACTCATTTTTTTGTGACCTGTAGTAGTTACATTTAATGTTAGTGATAGGTTGTGTGTGGACAACTGTGTTTTTAACCTTTATTCTTTCAAATGTACCAGTGGTCCATTTAAACAAACAAAATGAGAGAAAAAAGTGTTACAAAGATGCAATATAAATGTGATGTTATGTACATTTGGTGTTTTAAAGAGTTATATGTGCAAAATTATTGTCTTGGAACCAAAATATAAAATTAATATAAGTACATAAAATGTGTAGTGGGTTTTGTTGTTGTTGAAGCACATTTACCAATTAATTTTGCATTTGCAGATGGATCGCAATAAAATGCTCTAATAAATGCAGGAAAGAAGGGCATTTGCACTTCAATTAGATCCTTGTAAGTTAGAATTTGAATGAACATTTTAATAATGCTAATAAGTTAGGGTGAGAATTTCTTCTTTTTTAAAATGGATTGCAATTATGTTTTTACTCTCCAGATGTTTTCTGTTACACCCCCATTTGAAACTAGAAAAAACTTTAAGAAAATTCCTTTAATTAAAGACAATGACTTTAAAAAATCCATGAATAAATAAAAAGAAATAATGTTTTGCAAGAGAAATATTTTAAAGTAGATGACCCAAAAATGAAAGTTTTGTCATTATTTACTCACCAGTATGTGGTTTGTGATTTACAAACCACACAAATACACGCGCAAGTATTTTACGCAAGCAACCGTCGCTCAACACCACCAAATAAGCAGAAGACACTGTGCATATCTGCACATTTGAATATCAAGTGAAAATATGTTAGAGACCCGCGGAAGTGCCTTGAAACAAGCAGCCCAGACAGCAACAGTGTCGGCCCAGATCTGGCGCACATCTGGTACACGTGGGTTCCACACTTACCAGATGTGGGCCGAATCTGGGCCGACACTATGTTGTTGTCTGGGAGTGTGTTGTGTTGACATAATTTCCAGAACCACTGAAACAGGGAAACAGGGCGGGACTGAACAGCCCCTCCCCCTTTTTAAATAGCCAATAGCATTTAGTTTATATCACAGCTTGGCCAGAGAAACCAAGTACACCTGGCTCCAGCCTGCAGATCGGGGCGGTGCACCGGTGCACACATTAAATAACAGTAGCTACCTACAGCCCATTGAAGAGATGCATGCTGTCTACGGATGCATCCTGTCCCTCACAGCCTCGCTTTCATTCCCATTAAAAATCAAAGATGGCGCTTCTGTGAATAAGGTGACGGTCTATGTCTATAGTGCACTGTGTGCCATTCCATGTAGAAGATAGATAGTAAATGTGTGAACAAGTGAACGAATTTAGCCGCAGCTTCAGCGTTCATAACGGAGCGCAGTGTTTGATTGGACAGAAAATCTGATGAGAAGCTTAAGTGATGTCATCAAAATCATTGATCCATATGGTGGAAGTTAAAAAAGTTTTGAATGGTCATATCTTCTAGATGCGATTTTTTATTATTTTTGGAGCACACTTAGGCTAGCTAGCCTACCATAGGCTAACATATTCATACTAAAAGCCCCAAAAAATACAAATTTGATTTCATGGGTACTTTAAAAACGAAATAGCCTAATAAAATCTGCCATATAGGCTACAAGTAAAACCAGAATCAATAGCTGACAAGAATGGGTCATTCAGAGGTAGCCTATTAATATTATACGCATCGAATCGCAGTCGCACCACTATCACTATTTAATTAAGATCCATAGCCTTAATATATAATATTATTCAATTGCTAGTAGCTTTCAGTCTTGTCTGATAATAAGTGCTGAAATCACACGCGCCCGTGTTTCTTTGAATGCGTGTTCAAGATGACGCGCAACATCGCCGCGTGCGTCTCCGCAGATGTGCTAATCCCCGCGCGAGAATGCCCGCAGCTGCAGATCTGTGCTCGTGTGTGTGAGGATGATCACGGGCTCGATGGGCTGCGGGGGAAGCAGATCCGCCGCGATCGAACCCCGGTATTACGAGAGCAGGGACACCGAGTCGACGTGGCTCACGAGCACGGACACGGAGACGCAACGGGCAGCTGCCGGTAACGGGACCGGCGACAGCGCGACCGCGAGCGAGAATGAGAAAACAGCAACAGCAACAGCAGCCGCCGGATCAGGTCAGGCACGATCGTCTTTATTAAAAACAGACATAATATAGATAATATAGAAATGACTAGTGATACACACAACCATGTACCTTTCATGAAAATATAAAATATCATTCATATTCGATGTATCTTACTGTATATTAATATGGTAATCTGACACCCTCACTGAGGCCCGTAATGTATAATAGGCTACACACAGAACTAATAGAAATATAGAATATAGGCCTACCTAACAAATATTTACCATAATAGTGTCCAAATCCAATAGTAAATGAACACTGTGGTAATTTGTTATTAGTCATAATTCTTCCAAGCATTAAAAACTGAAGGTTTTAGATGAAAAAGTTCAATTCAGTCCAAACGTTTGTCTGGTTGTGTACATCATGGTTCTCACTGGGCCTGAGACTTAAAATGATTTAAAATAAGACAAAACAAGCATTAAAATGAAATTAAAAACAACAACAACAACAACAAAAATCATGGTGTTTCTTATTTTGGTTGACACTGTCACTGTTTCCTTTTAAAAACCAGTATTCCCACTGTCATATATTAATTTAAAAGGCATGTAAATTAATAAAATCTTAAAACTTCATAGTAGGCATGTTTATCATGAATACATATTTTACTAGTTATGACAATCTCTAAAATATTTTATTGGGTAGAAATTGTGAGTTCATTATATATATATATATATATATATATATATATAATATTAATCCTTATCCAGTAAATCTTGAATGACTGGGAAAAGAGCCATGTAAATGTATTGGTTAAGTAGATTGGGAACCCTGAGAAAACTTCTAGAATCCTGAAATTTTAAATTAAAATTTTATTTATAATTATTGTTATTATACATTTTTTTTAAATTACAGAAACTACAGAAGTTGCCAAAAGGGATGTCCGGCCTTGGAAAATTGACGGCATAAATTAAATTATTGACATCTAAAATTTGTTATTTTATTTATGTCAATGCAATGAAACATGCCAAATTGTGCCAACATAATTTTTGGCCAGGCTGTCATACAAATAAATTATGAACACGTTACACAGTCTAAAGTCCTTGGTTGTAGTCTTCTTTCCTGTGAGCTTTTTTTCTTCTTCTATGCATTTTTAATTAAGACATCACTTTTGGCCACTACTATTGTAAACCAATACTACGGCTAGGGAGCCTTTGGAGTCAAAAAGTTTGAGATCCATTGGTGCACATTCGTATGAAGAACTTCTGTGCTTTTGTTGCTGTAAAGGTCAAAGGGAAGAGAAGCCCATGACGGGGACCAGAGGCTCTTCTGCCAAAGAGAAGAAGCTGGTGAACACCGGCACACAGTGTGGCAGACGCGCCATGCTCACCGACAGCACCCAGAGGAGACCAGCACACAGAGACGAGGTCAGGAGCATCAACACTCATATTTCACCTCATAATAAAAAAAGATATAGTTCTTAAAGGGACAGTTCACCCAAAAGTCAAAATTCTGTCATTAATTACTCGCCCTCATGTCGTTCCAAACCAGTAAAACTTTCGTTCATCTTTTTGATGAGATCTGAGAGCTTTCTGTCCCTTCATTGACAGCTACGCAACTACCACTGACGCTTCAGAAAGTTCATAATTATTGGTTCAAACGTGCTGCGTAACACGAGAATGAACCTCATTGGCTCTTGCTGAAGCTCAAACGTGCTGCGTAACACGAGAATGAACCTCATTGGCTCTTGCTGAAGCTCAAACATGCTGCGTAACACGAGGATGAACCTCATTGGCTCTTGCTGAAGCTCAAACATGCTGCGTAACACGAGGATGAACCTCATTGGCTCTTGCTGAAGCTCAAACGTGCTGCGTAACACGAGGATGAACCTCATTGGTTCTTGCTGAAGCTCAAACGTGCTGCGTAACACGAGGATGAACCTCATTGGCTCTTGCTGAAGCTCAAACATGCTGCGTAACACGAGGATGAACCTCATTGGCTCTTGCTGAAGCTCAAACGTGCTGCGTAACACGAGGATGAACCTCATTGGTTCTTGCTGAAGCTCAAACGTGCTGCGTAACACGAGGATGAACCTCATTGGCTCTTGCTGAAGCTCAAACGTGCTGCGTAACACGAGAATGATCCTCATTGGCTCTTGCTGAAGCTCAAACGTGCTGCGTAACACGAGGATGAACCTCATTGGTTCTTGCTGAAGCTCAAACGTGCTGCGTAACACGAGGATGAACCTCATTGGTTCTTGCTGAAGCTCAAACGTGCTGCGTAACACGAGGATGAACCTCACTGGTTCTCACACGTCAAGTTAACATGCTTGAGCTTCCGTTTACCACAACTGATGTGTGAGTTAATGAAGGTTTATATGTGAATAAAAGCCTAAATTCAATCTGTTCATCATATAAAGCAATCGAGTCTTTTCAGAAAATGTCGACTAAACCGCTCAATTCATATGGATTAGTTTTACTTAATTGTCTTTTACTTCATGCAACAGTTCTTATTTCTTTCTTTTGACGTTGGGTTATATAAAGATGAGCTGGACCTTTTATCTTCATCTATCATGCATCTCATATCAGCATGCAGTGCATCTTTATAGGCTGATATTCTTTTCTTGCAGGTTAAAAGTAAATCAAAGAAAATCCCCCAGCCTGAAGGGGTTAAAAGTGTCCGTCCGGCGGTAAACGCGGAGGTGATTCCTTGACGAACACAGTCACAGTGCCACAGTCTAACGAGGGACTTTCATTGTAATTCAATTAAACGCACATCAGATGGCAGATTTGATCTCGCTCCGTCTGTTCGTCTGCATGTGAGCGTTGGAGCAGACGAAGACCCTAACATGCTGCAACACGTGCCATTTTCAACTGGATCAAGCCTTTATAGAGCTGCATCTCTGTTTCTAAAGTACTCAAATGTTATTTATTTCCAAGCCGTTGTTCATTTTGAATATTTTCCTGGTGTTATGTATTTGCCAGTGTGATTTCCATCAGTATTGTGCAGGTTAGTGATATTCTAGTGCCTAATGAGTCTGTTTGATAATGCAGATATACAGATGTCTCAGGTTGTGATTGTATGAAATGAAGACACATCCAAAAACATAACATTGTCTTGCTCCTCTGAATGGAAACGGTTTGGTTTCCAGTCTTCAGACTGATTTGTTTATGATTTAGTGAAGCAACATGTTTGATTTGAATCGGTCAATTTGTTCATCATAATTATGACATTTTTTATAGGGACGCTGGGAAGGATTCCCCCGAGTAAAAACAGCACAAGAATATTTTGACTTAATATTTTACTATAAAAACATAAATACATAATAAATAAAAGCATAATAAACATTCTGAAACTGAAAGAGTTTCTTATCTTACAAATTACATTTATATTTCAACAGTGTTTGTGTGTCTCATCATGTACTACTGATATAAATATTGTAAAGTATGATGATTTTAGGTGTCATATGTGCAGATCATATTTCACACCCAAATTAAGCGAAATAAGTAATAAAATTGTATACAGGAAAAATGACTACGACATAAAAGAGAATTTTAATGAAGGGAAAAATCGACATAAAACTAAATAGAATGTTGTGATGTATTTTGTATAACGCAGACGTTTCACATATAATTACTTATAAATGAGTAAAATTCACACCCCAATTATTATTGTATTTTTTTATTTTTTTATCATCACCGGCTGAGAAAAAAATGAAAAAATGACAGCCATGAAAGTACCATGTGGATTGTTTCTCATGCAAGAACATTGCATCTGTTTTTTTTGTTTTTTTACACATTTATTTACTGTACATGTTCCTAGTTTTTATGACTTCAATGATACTCCAAAATGTGTCAGCAGTTTAAAAATCTACAGCATTTGTGCAGATGTTAAAATGCATGAGCAGTTTTACTGCAAACAGACACATGGTTTTGGACTGTATATTAAATTGACTTGATGATATTGCAATGCTTAAAAAGGCAGTGTTTATAAGGCAAATTAATTGCTTTAAAGAGGGAATTAAGAGATACTTCACAGCTAATGAATAAAACGAACACCATCCCCACAAGGCTGTCTCGGCACTCATGCACACTCATATCAGTCTCTCATTTCATACTGGATATTGAAGGAAAAAGGCAACTTTACAAGATCTTGCTTCGATGATTTACCAGGTACAAATTAGATTTTTCTATAAAATTAAACACTGATTGTTACATTATCAGATGATTTTTTTTTTTTAAACAAAGAGGACAGAAACTAGCAAAATTATAAGACGAGGTTTTCCTGAAAACATCAAATGAATGTATATTATAAAACATTCTGCAACTCTGTATTCTTTATTTTACCACAACAGTGGAAGAAATAAACTTATCAAAAAAGTAAGATCAGCTGGTCCAAATATAAAAACACAAATCCCCAGATAATAAAAATGAGATAAAAAAAGCTCTTTTACAGATGATGTCTTGGTAAATAGTTCTCAAAAAGAAACTGACTGTAAATTAATGTTTGACCCCAAAACGTGTTTCTCACATGTGATTGGCGGATCAGATTTAAATGGGGAATGATTTAAGATTGCATTGACCATTGACCCAGATCATATTAAATAAAATACTTCACTGTCTGCATGCTTGGGGAAATCTAATTAAATCACTACAGTTTCTGAATGAGGTTTTTGTACCATTATCATCATCATGATAAACTAATCAAAATATCTCTCTAAATGACGATTAAAAGCTGTACACCCCAACATTTTACCTGACATATAAAGCATAAATTATGTAAAAATAAACCCAGACTCATCATGCCTGCCAATAAATAAAATGGCGCATACGACTTGCAGGGGTGCATTTATCTTGAATTACTCAAAGTCAATCAACATACGGATCATTTACAGTCAAATCACCGGGATATGAGTAACATGAGCTGTACAAATATATACACACCGCCAACATATACAAAAGTCACGAATAGAAAACAATATCTCATGGTGTTTCTAATAGGATCCCAATTGATTTTCAGCTTGTGTTGAGTGACGTATTTGTGCTTATCGGTTTAAACGTCCATAAACGAGACACACACAATAGATTTTAGACCTTTTTACATTAAAGTCAACAAGAACTCAAAACTGACTCTTTTCACTTTCTTAATGGATGTTCCTGGTCTTATTGTGAACAATCTGCCAAGCCCAATCTGGCTTTTTTCTTGTTGAATACCCTGGTTGCAAGTCACGAGACGAGGAAGGATTGTGAAAGTAGTGAATATTCAATGTATTGTCCAGCCCTAACGCCACACTACGGGAGTACAGCGGCTTGTGAATATCATTTCATGCTGACTTCAAGACCTGTATGAAGACAGCATTTACACTGCGCTTATGCTGCCTTCATGTGCTCTCGGAAATGTCATACTTCCCACTTCTGAAGTCGTGATTACGAGCTCGTCGCATTCAGGTGCTTTGTTCTCGGAAAGAACCGGAATCATGGAGGACACCAGGTTTATTCCTGCCTATTTATTGGGAAAATCTTAATAAAGTCAAAATGATATGAAGCATCCCATTCATTGACAATCATATAACAGTCACTGCACTATCTAGATTAGGAATTCGGTCAAATACAGGCTATTTACACTGTGTATAAAACACACGCTTCAAATAATTATTCGTATATGTAAAAATGCACTACTTTAACGAACAAAACAAAGTGATATAGCTGTTGTGGAAAACACTGCAGTCACAGGAGCAATTGTTCTCCCCTCCGCCATGTTTAAAGTTTATGGCACGGCCAACTCAGGAACTTGGGTATACGACTTGAGAGGGCGTTCATGTCCAATTTTTAATTAGGAAACTCCTATTTACGATAATTCCGATAGCAGGAGAAGGCAGCATTAACTATGGAAGCCCATTTCTGCCACATAAAAAAAAACTAAAAAACTTAATTATGACAGTAATGAGACAAAAAGTCACAATTATAACATACTAAGTCATAATTATGATTTTTTAAGTCATAATTTTGACGTTTTGGCCTGGTTTCACAGACAGGGTTTAGATTAAGCCAGGATTAGGCCTTAGTTTAATTACGACATTTAAGTATCTTTTATAAACGTGCCTTGGAAAAACACATTACTGGTGTGCATCTAGAGACAAAACAATGACACTGACATATTTTAAGATAGGCAAGTGCATGTTTTTTTCAGTTAAAACAGATCAAACATGCATTTTAGTCTGGGACTAACTTAAGCCTGGTCTGTGAAACCAGGGGATAATGTCATTTTTTTTCTTAATTTTGATGTTTTATGTCATAATTACACTTTAGTAGCATGTCATAGTTATGATTTTTTTATGTCAAATTACAATTTACCAAGGCATTTTTTTATGTAATAGAAATGGGCTTCCATACTTAACTTGGGGTTATCGCCATTCTAACCCCAGCTTTTAACCCCGGGTAAGGGAACGTTTAACACTTGTAATTTAGAAGCACCGCTTTTTACCCAGGGTTATGAAACCCTTCTCAGGAGCAGGGTTAGTGTTACTTTTTCATTGTTAACCCTGCAATGCGGAGCCGAATCAAAGATGGTCTTATTCAGGGCTGCCCTTAAAGGAACACTCCGACTTTTTGGGACTTTAGCCTATTCACCTTATCCCCCAGAGTTAGATAAGTCCATATATACCTTTTTCATCTCCGTGCGTGCTGTAACTCTATCTGACGCACCCACCGCTAGCCTAGTTTAGCACAAAGACTGGATGTAAATGGTTGCAGCTAGCATACTAATCCAAATAAGTGACAAAATAGCGCAAACATTTTCCTATTTACATGTTGTGATTTGTATAGTAACAGAGTGTACAAAAAACAAAGTCACATGAGACACAGACATATTTTAACCGTATAAATACTGGGAACTATATTCTCTGAAGGCGAAGCACTGCTACTTGGGCGGAGTGATAACCGCAGCACCTGAGACGCGCTCTCTGCTCCTCACATACTGTCGGCTCCTCACCACGTCGCGTCTCAGGTGCTGCGGTTATTACTCCGCCCAAGTAGCAGTGCTTCGCCTTCAGAGAATATAGTTCCCAGTATTTATACGGTTAAAATATGTCTGTGTCTCATGTGACTTTGTTTTTTGTACACTCTGTGACTATACAAATCACAACATGTAAATAGGAAAATGTTTGCGTTATTTTGTCACTTATTTGGATTAGTATGCTGGTTGCAACCATTTACATCCAGTCTTTGTGCTAAGCTAGGCTAGCGGTGGGTGCGTCAAACAGACTTATAGCACGCACGGAGATGAAAAAGGTATGTATGGACTTATCTAACTATGGGGGATAAGGTGAATAGGCTAAAGTCCCAAAAAGTCGGAGTGTTCCTTTAAGAGCGGTGCAACTGGTGCACACTGGAAGGCGATAGCAAACGGTCTGAACTGGTCCCTCCCCAATGCTTGGGACGACCTGGTCTTATTATTGGGAGATACCAGGGTCTGCGGACCTACCATTCGAGAAAGAGTAACGGCCAACTTGGATCACGTGTGTCTTTGAATTGAATCCTACCTGTCGCAACATTGTCTGTGAATTCTCTTTTATAACAGTGGTATAAATCTAAAAAAATAAAGGGCCAGATTTACTAACACTTGCTCCAGCGCAAACCCTCTTTTGGTGTTAAAAAACTACTGTCAGGATTTCCTAAAGACACGCAGTGAGAAATGAGCGCTGAAAGGCATGGACAGGGTTATTTTTGCGGCTGATCTTATTGCATTTGCATTTGTATGAGTTTCCCTTTCAGATGCAAAATGTATGTGAGGAGAGTATTTAAATGAATCATGCGAGGTGATTTACTAAGGTTGGCACTCGTCAATTCACTGGTATTTGCGTCATTATTTAACGCCCCAAAAAAGCTCGTCTTAAACCAGACTCTACTTTGGTAGATTGTGTTGGTCATTGTGGAAATGATCCGGCTGTGTCTGTGTTCTTTAACGTGTGTGTCGTCAGTAGATCAAGCGCTGAACTTTACTCTCCCAACGCCGCTTTTATGGGATTGTTCATTCACGCTACTTTGCCCTGTTTGGTAAATATGGCCCAAAATGTTTAATTTGATTGTTTAATCAAATGTTTAATGGCAAACATGTTGAAGATTAGCCGATTGGCTGTCGCTTCATTGAATGATAAGCTGTTTTCCAACAAAAGCAGTTTATTCAACTCCTCCATTGACATCTATTAAATAAACGGCCTCCGGTCTCCTTATGCTTTTTTGCTAACCTTGGAGGCTTGCCTTAAAGCAGCTTTGGCCAAACTCGTGCAGTGATAAACCGCCTTTCCACTATCTCCGACATTCGCATTCGATTGTCGCTTTTAGTCCCCTAGTGGCAGTCGCACAGAACTTTGAAATTAGTAGCGAAACAGCCGTTACTTTCTGTCATAATTATTACTTTTTATGCCATTATTTCGACCTTTTTATGTCATAATTTCAACGTACATATGTCATAATTTCGATTTAGTGTCAATTTAATTTAGTATGTCATAATTTTGACTTAATATGTCATGACTTTGAATGTCAATTCCGATTTAGTATGTCATATTTTGAACTTATGTTATAATTTCAACTTTTTATCTCATAATTTTGACTTTTTAATCTGATAATTATGACTTTTTACCAAAGAATGACTTTTTTAATCTTATGTAGTGGAAATGAGCTTCCATACAACCGCGTGGATTCTTATTGAAATGTCTGGATTCCGCCCGCAAAAATTCACTGTACGTGAAAATTCAACGTGAAATAAGATAACGCAGGATTGCGATCCAGGGTTAACTATTTCAATCGTGAAAAGGCCTAATGAGTCATAAAGTTCATTGATTACAGCACAGAATAGAAAATGGCCCACGTGTGGGAGAACTGCTACACATCCATAAGAGTTTATTGTCTCTGTACGACACGGCTGACAGACTGATCTCTCGCTTGACCAGTTCTAATCTATACAACTACAACAGGACGACGCGCGGCTAAACCTCATTGATAGTTCTCTCCGACGGCCGGTATTCTGCGCCCTTCTCAGATGCCATGCTGAAGGACTGAGTCTTGCGTTTCAAGCGCGCACGCTTGTTGGCCAGAGAGAGGCTGTGCTTGCCGGAGGCGATAATGTCGGAGATGAACTTCTTGCAGTCGACACAAACCTCCATGGTGTTCCAGTCTTCCATCAGATCTTTCGGGAGCTCGATTTCCTCCTGAGATGAGGACGACTGCCGAGTCTGCTTAGATAATCTTAGAGAGATGGAAAAGAGACGGTAAATATGAATATCAGCTCGTAGAGACGAGCTCTATGCTATGGAAGCTTAGAATAAAATCATAAAAGAGGTAATTGCGACTTTCTATCTCACAATTATGACTTTTTTTCCTCTCACAAATGCGAGATTGGAAACACTTTACAATAAGGTTTCATTAGTTAACATACATGAACTAAGAGTGAACTACAGCATTTATTAATCTTTGTTAATGTTAATTTCAACATTTACTAATCAAAAGTTGTATGTGATAACGTTAGTTAATGCACTGTGAACAGAATGTGAACGACTGTATTTTTAAAAAAGATCAATATTGTAACAAATGTATTGCTCATTGTTAGTTCATGCTAATTAATACATTAACTAATGTTAACAAATGAGACCTTATTGTAAAGTGTTACCGCAAGTTTTTTTCCCCTCACAATTCTGTTTTTATTTTGTTTCTGCCACGAAATAACAAAATAAAGGTAATTGCGACTTTTTATTTCACAATTCTGACTTTTTTGTCACAATTGCGCGTTTATATCTTACCTTTTTTCTCAGAATCGTGATATAAAAAGTCACCTAAAATGAGCTTTTTTATTTTTTTATTCCGTGGCGGAAACAAGCTTCCATACTATGCTGTGTTTTTGTACTTGGACATTGTGCGCTGAAGGCTGGGTCGATGGTGGCTCGTGCTGGGCTTCTCTGGCTTGTGGACGGGCTTGTCCCGTTTCAGCGTGGACGTGGACGGACCCAGAGAGTAAATGGGTAAACTGGCGTAGGGCTTCGATGGCAGCCGCATCTAAAGCAACAGAAAAGACTGTGATAAGCACAAAATAAGCTTCCATTAGCTCTTGATTTCCTGAAGGACAGAACGTTCCAAACGTGATGAGATTTAAAGGCCCATTGTGACCTTGGAAATGGAGTCACGATGAGCTCGCCACAAATAATATAAAATGAGAATTACATGAAGTTATGTGAACATGGAACGGTTTGTACAGATCGTGACTTACTTTTTTACAGCATTGTGAACACACAGGCCTGCAAAAGTCAAGAACAAGATGATACAGCACCACTAAAAATTAGTTTTTGACAAATTGAAATATCTAAAAATCCTTAAATGAGTACTGACTAAAAAGTTGGACGGCAAGTTATTTATTACCTTTTACAAAACTGACAGGTGTAGGACCAGGTAAAGAAGGAAAATCGTTTAGTTCGGCAGCAGAAGCACAGCTGTGAAAAGAGAAATATTAATGAATTAATACAGAGAGTCATGCTCAATATTCACAATATATTTGCAATGTTTTTGCTGCCAGACCACAAATAAGCAACATTGTAAATATGATTTTAAAGCACTTTTTTTTTCATGATTCTTCTTCGTCTCGTGACTTGTACGAGTGTTCAGACAGAGATGTTTTAATAGTGTCTGATTCGAACTTCAAAAAGAGTTCAAGTTGGTAAGTTTGATTCATTTCTCTGAATCAGTTCAAAATGTCTCTTTCAGTGAATCAACTCAAAACTTTGATTCTACGATTTGTTCATTTCAACTCCAAATGTTAAAAGTCTTTGTGTGGCATTTATCATGTATCAAAATGTTTTAGTAAAATATATGGAATATACACACTAGCTTTCAAAACTTTGAGTTCGGTATGATTTTTCAATGTTTTTGAAAAAAGTATTTTCTACTTACCAAGACAAAAATGTATCACAAATACAGTCAAAACAGTAATATTGTAAAATATTATTACAATTTAAAAGCACTGATTTCTATTGTAATATATAGTAAAATGTAATTTATTCCTGTGATCAAAGCTGAATTTTCAGCATCATTACTCCAGTCTTCAGTGTCACATGATCCTTCAGAAATCATTCTGATATGCTGATTTGATGCTCAAGAAACATTTCTGATTATTATCAATGTTGAAAACTGTTCATGACTGTTTTGTTATGCTGACACATATAAATGAAAATGATTAAATATAATTCTTCCTCATGTTCATTTAGTCAAATATACGGAAGAGGATTAGGGCCAAGTAATAATAAAAAAATAAAACCATCTCGAGATTAAAGTCATTATAATGCGAAATTAAACTCGTTAAATTTCGAGAGAAAAAAGTCGAAATACAATCTTGAGAATAAACTCATTAAATATCGATAATAAAGTCATTGTGTTTCGAGAAAAAAATCATTAAATTTCGAGAAAGAAAAACTCGAAATATAATCTTGAGAATAAACTCATTAAATATTGAGAATAAAGTTGTTGTGTTTATTCTCGAAATTTAATGAGTTTATTCTCACTATTATTTCGACTTTTTTCTCGAAATTTAACGAGTTTTTTCTCGAAACACGACGACTTTATTCTCGAAATGTAATGAGTTTATTCTCAAGATTGTATTTCGAGTTTTTCTTTCTCGAAATTTAACAAGTTTTTTTCTCGAAACACAACGATTTTATTCTCGAAATGTAATGAGTTTATTCTCAAGATTGTATTTTGACTTTTTTCTCGAAATTTAACGAGTTTTTTTCTCGAAACACGACTTTATTCTCGATATTTAATGAGTTTATTCTCAAGATTGTATTTCGAGTTTTTCTTTCTCGAAATTTAACAAGTTTTTTTCTCGAAACACAACGATTTTATTCTCGAAATGTAATGAGTTTATTCTCAAGATTGTATTTTGACTTTTTTCTCGAAATTTAACGAGTTTTTTCTCGAAACACGACTTTATTCTCGATATTTAATGAGTTTATTCTCAAGATTGTATTTCGAGTTTTTCTTTCTCGAAATTTAACAAGTTTTTTTCTCGAAACACAACGATTTTATTCTCGAAATGTAATGAGTTTATTCTCAAGATTGTATTTTGACTTTTTTCTCGAAATTTAACGAGTTTTTTCTCGAAACACGACTTTATTATCGATATTTAATGAGTTTATTCTCAAGATTGTATTTCGACTTTTTTCTCTCGAAATTTAACGAGTTTAATTTCGCATTATAATGACTTTAATCTCGAGATGGTTTTATTTTTTTATTATTGCTTGGCCCTAATCCTCTTCCGTACAAATACAATGTGGAAAACATGCCTGGTTTATTTTTAATAAACAGTTGTTAACTTCACGCATTAAAGCTTTTCAGTCTACTTGATTGGTTTTGCTGACATGATGCTTCCTCTGAATGGTTGCAGTAATGCGCTAATAAAAGCAGTTCCCACCTTCCCCTTCTTCAGGGCATTGTAGACGTCTTTGTACTGCTGAAACTTCTCCAGTTCAGCTTTGACCAAAACCTGCCGAATGTGCATCACTTCCTCCACCGTCAGAGCCAGACACTCCACCGGGAAACAAAACTCCTCCTGTCCAAAGACATCGGCCAGACGTTACCAGAGACAAAACTACAGCAGCAATGCCGCTCATTAACCTCTTCACAGCCGCAATGCCAAAGAGAGGGAATTCTGGGATACTGAAGCCACTGCAGACATCAGCATTTAACATTCAGATTAGTATAGTAATATCTCAAACCAGTGTGTATACTACAGTATTGTCAAAAAGTGATGTCCGGAGGGGAGATTTGTTTTTAATGACCCTACAAGTTTGATTAAATCATCAAAATATGAGGAAAATATTTTTTTATATTTGAAATATGAGAGAAAACACAAATCTGACAGGAAAAAACAAACATTGACTACAACATTATCAGTTATTAATATTTTGGTTCTCTCTTGTTTATGCATGCGTTCATAGATTTTTTGTATGACAGCCTGACCAAAAATGATGATGGCACAAATTAACATGTTTCATTGCGTTATCACAAATAAAACTATTGACTCTGAGCATAACTACACAATATATGCTTACAAAATCTTTAATAATATTTGAATAAAGGGTGAAGATGTCAATTTTCCTAGGCCGGACATCACTTTTGGCCACTACTGTATTACAGTACAAACATTGTGGAACACAATGCAATGCTCTCATTTCTGATGTGACAAATACATTTTTTTTGTATAACAGCCATTTAATTTTTATGTGAATATTGATCAGGCCGTCAAAAAAGGTTCACTTAAAAAAGCCAAAGTAGCCAAAATGAAAACTAGAACCAAAATAACTTTATTTCCAAAATGATAACATTGTAAAATGATTAGGTAATTTGACAACAGTGTAGCATAAGACCGTTTGAAGTAGAGATGCACCGATTACAATTTTCTAGGCCGATTCCGATTTCCGATTTTTCACAGTTTGACCTGCCGATACCGATTTAAGCCGATTCCGATTTCATTTTTTCTAACCACTTTACAGCACACACAAATATTTATTTTCTCTCTTTTCTTTAGTAGAACCTTTTACATTTTGCATAGAACATTTTTGAACAGTAATCGCTATAAAATAGAACTATATAAATTCACACACATTTAAAGTGCAGTGTTATGGAAGAACCATTTCCTTCTTTTCACATCCAATATCCAACTAAAAAAATGTGTTCATTTCAAAAAGAAAATTCATTTTCTTTTCTGACATATACTCTAGTTCTTGTTAAAACACACCAGACATGCAAATTCTGTGCATTTTGGGCACTTTTGTGTGAAATCATATTCCATCAAAAGTGTGCTTTCACTTTAATTGAGCGTGAGCAGTGCAGCAAAAATAGACTCTGCGCCGAAACCCGCGCTTCACCGCTGCTCCTGCTCGACGCTCACGCGCTGCTCCTGCTCCCGGTGTGAATGCACTCATTGATTTACATGCACGCCGGAAATAATACGCACTGCTCACGTTTGCGGTGTGAAACGACCGCAATTCACGAGGTTTCCTACATGTGCGTCCCGTGTGCACGTGTGATGCTGATGTTGCGCAATGCTGATGTTGCGCGATGTTAACCATGCGGCGCCCGAGTGCATTTGACCGGCATAAAATCGGCATATGTCAGACTGACCGGGCGATCACGTGAAAATCGGCCAATTCCGGTCACCAGCCGACCAATCGGTGCATCTCTAGTTTGAAGCGTGTTGCATTATTAGTTTCTGTCAACGACCAAAAGCTTATGACTGGAAATGGCCTGAAGGGACGGCGGCAGAAGTGACCGAGGATGAAGGAGGAGTTTGTAAATGTGACTTTCTCACTTACTAAGGATTTTGAGCTGTGCCTGGAGGGCGGCAGGAACTGGCGGACACTCGTGGGCGTTTCCTTCTCGATGGAGTGCCGGCGCTGGGCGGGCTGGCGGCGCTCCGGCTGAGGTGTGGACGAGATGGGCAGGAACATGGGCGGAGCTGAGAGAGAGGAGGATAAAGACACATTACTATCAGTACAGCTATAGTGCAAAGTGATGCTGGGCATTTGCATTAAGCTGAACTAATGATGAAACAAATCACATCAGAAAGTGGACATGAATGACCTCTGGTTGCACTGTGAAACACTTAACACACTTAATGGTCCTAAATCAACACTTGCTTATTAGTAAACAAGCAAGCCCGGTAACTTTATTAAGAGCTGCAATATAATAATCTGGAGCCAGATATGAAGTGGAGATCTGTTGAGTTTACATTATCCTTCTCATTTCACAGATATTTAGCAAATAAATAAATAAATGGACATTAAATATTGGTTAGTAATCTTAATCTTAAGGGAAGTAAGATTATTATATTATTTATTAAAATTTTGATACTTCGATATTTATATTTTCAATTTTCATTTTTGTTTAAGTTTTTAGCAATTTTGTTATGTTTTTTTATTTTTTTTTTATTTTTTTTTTAATATTTCTATTTAACTTTAATTTATTTTTATTTCAGTTTTAGTTATATTAGTGCATCAACTTAAACTTATTTATTTCAGTTAGTTGCTAAGACAACATTTCTTATTTTCGTTTAAGTTATTTAGGTTATTTCGTTTATTTTATTTCAGCTTTATTTCTAATTTTAGTTTTAGTTTTAGTTCTCTCTTGTTCAATAACAAGACGTAATGTGAGATGTGAAACAGTCATTTAGGAAACTAGTTATCATGAGCTGCTTTTCCACTGTCGGGTCGAATGCTTCTAAGAACACATGCAAAAACAAGAGAGAACCAACAAAATATTAATAACTGACTATGTTGAAGTCAATGTATGCTTTTTGTTTTTATTGATGCATATTAGTGAAATAAAACGTGTAGCCGTAGTTTGCCTTCTTTTTGCCAAATAATTTTGTCACAAAAATACCTTAATCAAGTTTAGTGTTTTGTTCTTCCCTCATATTTTAAATAAATTTAAAAAATAAAAAAATATTTTCCACCTATTTTGATAATCAAATTAATCAATTTAATAATTAGATTTTTAAATCAAACTTGTAGGGTCATTTAAAACCAATATTCCCCACAGACATCCCTTTTGGACACTACTTTATTCTTTATGCTAGAGAGCTCCAAAAATAGAGGGGAAAAAAGTAATCCAACTGTCATAATTTAAAAAAAAATAAAAATGCAAAAAGAAACTCACTTTTCTTGCCCAGGATGGATTCTGGCGACGTGTCATCCACCATGGATGTAGAGATGCTGGAGCAGCTGGCTGACCTTTGACCTATGGTCTCATCCTGAGTGAGATAACACATTACTGAAAATAAGTGGCTTACATAGAGATTAAATGACCAAAAATGATGTCCTAATAAAAATCCTCACGTCTGAATCGGAGCTGTCGAGTTCAGAGAGTGTCGGTGCCTGAAGTCTTTTCCTCTGAAACCCGGCAGAGCTGTTCTGCTGAAGAGACACTCCGTTGGCCAACGACAGCGTGCTGCAGGCCTTCCTCGCCCCGTCAGAGGACGACACGTCTACAGAAGAGAGGACAGGACAGTTACATGAAGAGCAAAACACGCATACAGACCAAGAGAAGTATGTTTTACAAAAAAATATATTTTTATTTTGACAGCAATTATGAATTTGCTAGTAAGTTTCACAAATTATTACAAGGAAACGGCAAGTAACACATTGAAGAAAACATTACATTTCGAAGTAGAAAGACTGAAAAAATAGTTTTTACTTGTACTTTGTTTTATTTACAACTTCAAAAAATCTTTTTTTACAGTGTTGAAGATTTGAGCTGCTCTTAAAATACAACACTAGTCAATAGAACCTGTATAATCTGCTAATGTTGGCCATTTGTTCTTGTACATGATGCTGAAAGTGTTTCTCTGCATTAGCAAACACAAGCACATGAAAACGTCACTACAGACACGACACCACAGATGAGAGCCGTGAATGAGTGTGTGACGTAAAGACAAAATATCAAACACTACATCACATACAGTTAGATCTAAACCTCTGGAGACCACTGGTGAAAATGTTTCTAAATATTTGGTACATTTAGTGTGTTTCTCTTGTACTCTTGTGTGTGTCTCGACAGCAGCACTGGATAAGAGCCTGTACAAAAGTCACATGGCCAATGTCACTCATTTTGATTAGAAATAGAGCACTGGTGATTAATTTAGTCTTAAAGGGATAGTTCACTTTGAAATTAATTTTTGATATGTTTTAGCTTACCTCAAGGGCATCCAAGATGTAGGTGTCTTTGTGTCCATAGTATTTTCGATTTTGATATTTTTAGGTCAAACCGTTCTTGTCTGTCAGTCATATAATGCAGGTCTATGGTCACCACCTCAAAGAGCATGCACAGAGAAGTCCAAATTGAACATGATTTAATGACTCGTAAATGTAAGTACACATTGATGGCCTAAGACACGAAACGAGCGGTTTGTGTGAGAAAACGAACAGTATTTATATCGTTTTTACCTCTTGTAAACACAGCCACGTCCAAGTGATCTGACGGCGCCGGCGGTTCGGTCTTTTCCGGAAAGTGCCGGAAGTGAAACCTCGCGCGTGTACGTCACTCATTGTTTACACAGAGCAGAGATTGTAGCAAAGAGACATTCTCTGATTGTAGGTAAGACGGCTAATTAAAAGGGAACTAATTTGCGCTTATTCGGGATGTTTAAACCGTCGTAAAAGAAAACAATTCCAAAAAAATAAAACAATTGTATGAGTGACGTACACGCGCGAGAGATCACTTGGACGTGGCTGTGTTTACAAGAGGTAAAAACGATATAAATACTGTTCGTTTTCTCACACAAACCGCTCGTTCGTGTCTTAGGCCATCAATGTTTACCTATATTTACGAGTCATTAAATCATGTTTAATTTGGACTTCTATGTGCATGCTCTTTGAGGTGGACCCCATAGGACTGCATTATATGACTGACAGACAAAAACGGTTTGACCTAAAAATATCAAAATTGAAAATACTGTGGACACAAAGACACCGACATCTTGGATGCCCTTGAGGTAAGCTAAAACATATCAAAAATTAATTTCAAAGTGAACTATCCCTTTAAAGGCGACCTATTATGTGCTTTTTCAAAGTCTTGATTTTGTTCAAAACACATTATTTTTCACATCTCATCACATATTCTCCATTGTTGCAGCTCCTCACTTCCCGGTCAGTCAGAAACGCTCTGTTTAGTTCCTGTCTCTATGAAGCCCCTCCTTATAACAAGAACAATGCGCTCTGATTGGTCGGCTGGATCAGTGTGTGGTGATTGGTCAAGCGCTTTGAACGTGTTTGTCAAATGTCCCTCCCTTACCATAACCTGAGTTTCAACACACTACTAACTCACTCAACCAGGCCCGCTCCTTTATTCTGCATATGAATTATTAAAATGAGGAATATTGTGACGTGTTCGTTCCCGGAAGAAAACACAAGACTACAATGGAGGCGTTTCAGGGAGTTCAGAAACAGTGACACTGATATAGAGAATAACTCCTGCTAGAGGGACTTTGTGCTTTGTAAATTTGCAGACCTTTTCATGATCAAACAGCAACATTTAAAAATGTTGAAAATGTTAAAAATCATAATAGGACCCTTTTCTTTGTTTGCAATTTTTCCAGATTTGAATAAAATTGTCAGTAAAAAATAAATAGTCTGAGTAAAATGGTCTCTGACTTTTGGACCCAATCTGGACCCAGTTTGAGCGTTCCTTGAAAATATCTTTAGCTGAGTTCATTTCACACATTGTTTTCCTTTAGTCTGTATATTAATAAAATGATATTACAGACACAAAAAATAAAGTTTTGGAGTGTTTTATGATATTTCCATGATATTTTTTTTGGCACTATGATTGTACTTTGGCATGTAAATGCCATGCTATATAAATACGGTAATCATTCAGTACAATGAGTCGCATAAAACAAACAAGTGGCATCAAACAAATGATGCACAAGCTTTTATCAGAACAAACTGGACATTTTTGAGCATGTGCTATCTCTCTTTAAAACGAATAACACTTCTTGATAATTTGATTCATGATATTCTAATGCAATGACATTCATGCATTTTAAGTGTGACTGAAGTGCCTAAACACTATTTGAGGCTTCTGTATATAAAAGTCACATGGTATAACCATTTGATAGCATCACTGAACCGTGGTACCGCCATACAACTTTAAAGTGCAGCCGCTAATGACTTTCCAACACAGACTTTCCTCTGTCTGTGAATCCTGCAAACTCCATTTTAACCTCCGATTCAATTCTGCACACTCATCCTCTCAGATGGGAAACCTTTATGTGTGACTCTTTCTATGAACATCTGCTGTGAGCTGCACATTTGACCAGTTTCTAGTCACAATATGAGTCATTTTACATCACAAGATAGTTATTTTAGATGTAAGAGTAGTGTATATACTGTATATGAAATAACCATGTGGTAATGTCAGCCCTGCACTGATCAGTCAACACATCACATGAGTAAACCACATATTCACATATTAATCCACTCTACCTTCATGTGAATGAATTAAGTCATGACGTAATGAATACTGTTTCTGGGTCCAAGCCTCTACTCGTTTCACTTGCGAATAATATCTCAACATTGTTCATGAGCTCTATTTATTTATAGAACACATTTAAACTAAGCTTTAAAAAAATTACAGTCTCCACTACAGTCTCCGTGCTCACGGCATCCCAGACACAAATATTTTAACGATTCATAAAAGATGAAACGTTGCCTGGCCATCTGGGATTTCCGTATGGAGATAAAGGTTGGGATCATGATTTTTTGGTTACATCACATCATGAGTGTATATTATTAGCATTGTTGTTTCCTTTTAGCATCTGATAAAGCGTTTGGACCCGGAAGCGGTGGTGTGTGACGAACGGATTATCATTTATATGCTGTGTTAATAATAACTATATAAAAAAAATCATCATTAACGGTGTTAATAAGATGAAATCAAAGTGAATTTAAAATTGGTCACATTTCATTTGAGGGTCAAAAAACATAATAAATACTAAAAATAACTGAATGAATTAATAAATAACATCCATGATCTTCATCACTGAACCCTGAGGCACTTTTGTTTATCTGATGGCATTAAAAATTGAGAATTAAATACAAATCTAAAGCAGGACCCTCAAATGAACGGCTCCCGGTTTTATATATGAAATGACAGGAGACTAAGCTCTAATCATCACAGACGGCACTAACGGATCACATCACAGCTTTACCTGATGAATCAAAACTCTGAGACATGCTAAGAGGCCGAATGGCTGCAAGAAAACAGGCAGGGTGTTAAAAAGGCAAGTATAAAGATTCACAATAGCAAACAATGGCTAATTCAGTAATACTTAGTGTGGATAGTGGTTATAGCAAGAGAAGACATGCGATTAAGACATTTCATCCATTTTACATTTTACATTTCATCCATCAGTTTACATGGATGGACTAAATAATACGAGACAGATAATCATCAGCCATGTATGAAGCTGATATACGCCACACACAGACTTGTGTGACTGTTACGTTGCAATCAGAGCAAATGTCAAGACAGGTTTGTTTCAGTGATTGTTCATCTCAATTGAACATCCCCAAGTCTGATTACAACATCGAGCTGTAAGTATGTGCAGTGACCTTCATACATGATGCCTATTCAGCTCCTTTAAATGACCTGCTGTATGTCCATGTCAAGCAGCAAATGCATGTATAGTACTGTATGCTTTTGTGTGAGAGTTTAAAGTCTCACCGAATCTACTTCTCCGGATCTGATCTGGCGACACCGGCCTCAGTTTCCTCTCTGATTTGATCCCCTCCAGAATGCGCTCATGCAGACTGGGAGGACGTTCGGCCTGCGGCTTGAGCTTTCGCGCTGCCACCTGAAATCACACGTAGATATCATGGAGTATTTTGGGAGCAAAGAGACGAGCTGCATTAGTAAATTTCATTTCCCATGTCACAAATTGCGATCACTTCTTCAGTTTCAAGTTAGTGGTGTTATCTAATTCACACAATTCCTTTATTGAATCATGCATTAAAACACAGGCATTAAAGTTCTCTGTCGACGTTTTTTTTTGCAGCGTTAAGCATTATGACCAATCACACATATTTATCATGAATGAAAAGGCCAAATCTGCTAAAAACGCTGGAGTTTGTTTCAGTGCACACACACTCACTAACTGAATTCTGCACTCTTGTGAATCCTCTCATCTTAAACAAAGTGCAGATATGACGCAAGTAAAAGATTTATTGTAGCGTAGCCAGCTTCATTTATTATAACGGGAGTTTTTGTGAGCATGCAGAAATCGCACTGAACGTAATTCATGAGCTGTGATGGGGAACGTTCTTTGCCTGCTTTCTATATATAATCTGGATAACCATTTTGTTTTCCATGCTCCTAAGATAACCAATGTGAAGTCTTGATTTTGTAGAGCGTAAAACGCAATGAACTAATCCCTAAATGTTGCTCAACTTGTTTTGTCTGTGTAGCCTAAAAGAATCTCACATCCCTCTTCCCTAAACATAAAAACATTTTTAAATGTATTCTATTAATCAACATTAATAATCATATTACAAAAAGGGCAATCGCTTAGTAATAACTTACAATAACAATTAAAAGTATTGCAAAAACGATCAGTTTAATTCTATAATTTTATGCAAACTGGCAATATAAGCTGGTCTAAAACATCATCTCATTTCAAATTTTAGGTTGATATCTCAAAAAATGAGCTTTCAGTGAGGTTTTGTTTGTGCGCAGTACCAAAATTTTTCACTAGATGACAACCAGACTCCATTACTGCCCATATAAGGGCGCCTCTATTTCCATATGTGTTTTGAGTGATCTGAACCATTATTTCCACAATTTTCATACAATTTATGAAGTAGACATCCTATTCAGAAGTAATATGAGAAGTTTGGCAGATTTTGATATGAATTCAACCTTTAAGGAACATAAAAAGAACACGCATGTGCGTTATAGCTTCCTGCCACATCACAAATGGTGAATCTATCATTTTTTTCTTTATATTTAAAAAAATTCAGACCTTTTTTTCTAAAATAATTGAATGGATGCTATCTTTTGAACTCTTGGCATGAAAACAAACTGAGGTTTCTACCCTTCTTTCATGATTTTTCATGTTCATCACTATTTCAAAATAAAGGTCTAAACACGCCTTAGGAGTATGAAAATATTCTTGTTGCAAATTGATAAATTACGGCTCCTCTGTAATTTATTTTGAAAATCAATCACCAAATATGGAAACTAGAGATTGTAATCTTTTAAATGATATATAGTTCGTCAAGATTAGTTTAGGTTTAGTATAGGATATTACGGTTTTAAAAATGTAATGGATTTGGGCCCACCGGTGGGCCGGTGACACTTTAAAACGCTATTGGTCTTGAGTATTTAAATATAGTGACGGTTAAAGGAATATGACGTAGCCTGATTTTTTGTTGTTGCTTGAATCCCTGAAAACATTGAAGATGGACAGCACATGCAAATGAACGCTGCTATCAGTGCATGCAATTCATTTTAAGTGAACTCCCTCCTAAGTTTGTAAGTAGTGAATAAGGATCACTCACAGGGTTGAGGGGGGGTCTGGACCTGATAAAATCAAGTATGACCTCATGAGCGCTCTTCTTTAACTTGGGTGGAATATCTCCATTCACCTGAGAAAGAAAGAAAGAGAGAGAGAGAGATCTGAACACACACATGCACAGACCTAGCAGAGACTGGAAGCATCATTGAATCCCATTGAATAAATGCAATTAATATGTTTTGAATGCAACTTCTGAAAATGTTTTTTGCATCTTTGATAAGTTAATATGCAGTTTACCTGCCTCAAACAAATTTGATACCACAAACCCACTTTTGTCCAATAATTTTGTTGTATCAGTGTAGCTAAAAAAGTAGAGCAAGGCCTTTGATTCCCAGGGAATGCATGAACTTGATAAAAAGCATACCATGAATGCAATGTACTGTAAGTTGCTTTGGATAAAAGCGTCTGCCAGATGCATAAATGTAAATGAAATGTGCATCAGATAGGTGTGTTGTGACAAATGTGGCGGTGTGTGTTCTGAACTCACCATGACCTTGCGTAGCTTGTAGCGTTTGGAGCGGATGTCGTCCATGAGCATCTCGTACGGCGTTAGCTGGAACTCGATTGGCAGCGGGTTATACTGCCGTTCCTGAACCTTCTGCAACTTCACACCGTTCCTCAGATCTCGCATCAACTGCACCCAGAGCCACGTCTGACCACAGCACACATGCATCGATACGTTAGACGGATTCCAATGGAGTATTCCAGGGGGTTTTAAGCATAATATGTTACTAAGTATTAGTTATCCTTTAAGGCAAGATGCTACAGGCAAAAACAGTGTTTTACATGCACTGGTGGTCAATTCAGAGATTTTGGGCAGTTTGGTCTGTAGATTTCAATGACTATATATAAGTCAGAGATGTATTCTTTTCAGGAAATCTATGCAAATTAGTGAATATTTAATTAGAGAATGCATAATTTGCATGTCTTTTTAGAAAACTTGTAATACAACAAATGCTTGCTTCTTAATGGGACTGGGGATGTATGGTTATTATATTTATTAGTTACATTTTTTACCTGTGGTGTCTTGCCTTCAACTAAATTGGATGAGGAATGAATAGAGCCAATCAAAAGTCTCCATTCTTTGAAGAGCAGATGACTTACCCAATCAGAATTCTGCAGCTCGTTTAACTCCCTGCCAGGTACGTCAACAGTGTCTCCCTCCATCTTACGCAGGTTCTGTCCAATCAGAGGGAGACACAATACTTCAGACAACAGCTGAGTTGAGCAGAATCTATAGATGCGGCAGTATGACACTGCAACTGTCTATTATTATTACACCAAACAATGTGATGAATCTCACAAAACATATTTTACACCAAAATCAAAAGAATGAAAGAATGCGAATTTTTTTTTGCATTGTGACATTATTTCCCTGTCAATTAATGCCTTTTGCACATGCACATTTGTTTTCTGGAAGTTATGAATTTATAGGTGAGGAAAATAAAACAATATATATATATTTTCCCTTCAAAAAATAGAGAATAGGACAACAGAACTTGCTCATATTAACTTGCCATGCATGTTTAGTTTTGTCTGTACTATGCATCGTTTTATTTTAAGTAATTTCCCTCTGAGCTCAAATGGTGCCGTCATTATGGCCGTATCCCAGCTTTGGTTTGGAAATAAAAGGCTTTACAGTGCAGTAACAGTAAACCCTCATGGGAACGAGCACAGAGGGAGACGGTTTGTGAAGGGGGAGCGGCTCGTCTCATCTTACACTCAAAACCCCATCAAAAGGTGCTGAAGAGCCACAGCAGACACAGATTTCCCTGTGAGAGGAATAAAGTGGATGATGATTCTGTGCTAAACAGAGGAGACGCTTTAAACACATTTTGTGGTCAATGTGTGCCAACACAGAGCAGACATTATTAGCCTTAAGCACATAAACAATGCTGATACCATTAGAACTTGAAGGCAGGCTTTAAAGACGTTATATTTACAGAGGTTTTTTTTTTTTCAGTCCACATGTAATGTTAGTCAAGGTTTCTTGCACCATGAAAAGCTGTAAATGTAGGTTTTCATGACTACTGTCCATCCTCTCTCAGGCGTTTTTTTTTTTTTTTTTGCTGCTGTGCCTTCTATGTAAACACCCTCTGTTCATGTGAAATGAAATCAACTGAGACAAAATAAAACAATTTCCATCTCTTCCAGGTCTGGGTTTTATGTTTCCCTGAGACAGTTTTATATAAGCCATGTTATTTGGCTGATACATAATAAAGGGCATAATAAAAGCAGTCATGGAAATGTCACCATAACGTCTAATGTCATGAGTGTTTAACCGCCCGCAGTAAAACCAGCAGCGACTCTCCTCCACATATGACATTGTTACATTTATTCAATCACAAATCATGTTATGAGACCAACAGCAAAAATGTCATACCTGACAAACCTTTTATTATGACTGACAAAACTATTATTTTTGTAAATTGAAATAAAGCTGAAATAAAATAAAATATATCAGGGTTATCGTTAACTAAAATTAAAACCATAAGAAATAATTTTCTTTATTTAAATATATATATAAAAATATATTTATTTAGTTGAATTTGAACAACTAAAATAAACCTAAATGAACTAAAACTCAATAAAAACTAAATGAAAAAAAAAAAACACTAATGAAAAAATTACAAATATTACCAAAACTTTAACTAATATAATAGTATATAAATGATACTAATTTATACCATGGTCTGGGTGAATACTCGATTCTGATTGGCTGCAGGGTGTCCGTTAAAAAGTGATAGAGGACACCTAGTAAAGGAGTTCTGGTGAAACTGCCTGTTTACCGTTCGAAATTAATAAATAAATGCGCTGCCTACAACAGCTGTGACTGAGTAACCATAGCAACAGGCAGTCAAAGTATCCGTTAACAATTTGCTCTATCAAAACAAACATCTAACGTCAGTTAGATATTACATAGCCTACTAATACAACAATGAGCGACTTCGTTATTTCATCTTCAGTCTCTCACGGACTGACGGAGCAAGCCCGCAGACTGCTCTCGCATCGATGGCCTGGCTGTCACCGACATTATTTGACGGCTCTCCAGTCCAGCATCGGAGAGTCGACCTACAGCGGTGCTTCGGAGGCTGTGGTTAGTGTAGACTCGTGTAACACATAGTGTTTTATGTGTAATAAAAAATAACTATGCCTACCTTTGTGTTTCATGAAAAAAAAAATGCATTTTTGAACCTGAAGGGTTCTACAAGTTGAGCGGACTATATATCTCAAGTTGCTAAATAAATCGTCAGGCAAGTTATTATTTAAAAAAACTAGATTTAGCCTAATTAAAATATAAACTAATGTTTTAAAAATGTTTTATTTGGCAAGTGACCATGGTATAAGCGGGTTAATGCCCTTCGAGGTGTCCGTTGTAAGGTTTTAATGGACTTCGGCGGAGGCAACCGTCCTCCGCTGCGCGTCGGCCGGTTTACACCTCGCCGTCGTCCATTAAAACCTTACAACGGACACCTCGTCGGGCATTAACCCTTACATAACACTGATATAAATGTTACATTAAAAAATTAAAATGACTAACAGGAAATAAATAAAGACTAAAAATGAACCAAAACGGAAGGAAAAATAAATTAAAACTAAATAGTAATATTGAAAAAAAAAGAAAAAAAAAAAGACAAAAAAAAAGTACAAAAGCACATAAAATATTCATATAAAAATGAGAATAAAATAAAAAAAACCCTGAAAATATAAAAATAAATCTAATTCAAATTATTACAAAAAAATATAATATAAATTTAAATGAATGTATATCTGTGTGTGTATTGTAATATGTTAGTATGTCTTTCAGGAGATTTGAACTCTCCTGCCAGGCTGTTGCTGAAAGTGACTGGTTAAATAAAGGTTAAAAAAATTATTAAAATAAATAGAAATATTTTAAATAATACTAAAAAACACTGCCTTCCGATATAAAAGTATGTCTACTGGGAGGAGAATGGGATGAATGTCCAGGTCAACCCAACGTAACAACCAAGAAATTTGTCTTTATTTGGGAGGAAGTATAACCTCTCACCTCTTTTGCGCTCTTGATCTTCTCCAGGAAGGTGCGAAGCTCTTTGGTTTCGGCGTAAAGCGCTCGACACACGGCCTGGTAGTGACTGGGAGCATCCGCTGGGGTGGACAGGTGAAGGGTGCACAGCTGGAGACAGTCAACAGGGCAATTCACTCAGCTAGATTCACACTATAATAAAGTTCACATTCAATTATTCATCACATGCCCGTGCTGGGAATTCACACAATGAAGGTTTGAACACGTCAGAAGGAGACGCACTGATCCACACGAATGTCTCATAAATGCAATAAATGGACAGAAGGTGTGCTGAGTCACTCTTGGCTTCATACTGGCAGCAGTCTGTGCATTTTTGCAGCCCATTAGTGCAACATAAATATCAACGTGGTACTTAAATATTTGTTTATAAATCTCCTCACTGTGACCAGATTATTCACCAGAACAGATATGTGCAAAAAATATGAGAATGAATGCATGTGTACCAGTGAAGATAGCTCAGCTCACATTGAAAGTTTGAGTGCATTGCATTGTGGGATACAGATCACAGTAAGCTCTGGTTATAAATGGCACATTTCACCCTGATATTCTATAAATAAAGAAAATTAGCATAATGTGTACAGTACACGTAGCCTACTACTGTATATACTGCAGAAATTGCACAAGCAACCAACTGAGATCACGTGTAGGGCTGCAACAACAAATCCATCAAATGAAAATAATAATAAATTATTAAAAAATTAGTCAGTTAAAAAAAGGCCCTTTAAAGTAAACACACACATATATAAACACATTTATTTATTTGCATAATGTATGCATTTTTATTATGTAAAACATGCAATAAATGCTGCTGTCGCCATTACAACTGTCACAACTTCAATAAAGTTTATGCAAGAAATTAAGTGCAATCATTAAAAAAATATTTGTTGTTAAAAGTCACATTTAGGTTTTAAAATTACCAACTTGAAATCCTTAATGAAACCTTACGACTGACTTAAAAAAAAAATATATATATATATATATATTGTATTATATATATTGTGTACAATACTTGCACACACAAGCATAAATGAAATAGACTTCATTTTGCGCATTCAGTTTGCAAAAGGGGAGGACTTAAAATGTGTTTAATCACTTATTCAAAGAAATAATTGTCAAATTAATTGATTATCAAAGCATTTGTTAGTTGCAGCCCTAGTCATGTGACATCACTGTTGCATAATGTCTACTGTTACTTACTCATTTAAAAGAATCGCAGACCGTATACAGTGTTCACTTCTTAGTAAGTAGTATGTTAGTATTCATGCATAACACAGTCAAACTCTATCCACCTTATTCCTACGCCCCATGACGCTTTGCGCGAATTACATGGGTGTAACTTCCGTTAAGCTGTAAACAATCAGTGAAAGGCTCGCTCTATGAACGCAATATGTTAAAAAAGTGTCACAATGAGATGACAATAATCGACTCACCCTTCAACCATCGAACATTAAAATGAAATTTAAAAGTTTAAAATAATCAACAAGGTACTTTCAACAGACCAAAAATAGCCCCAAAAGCGCGAGTCTTTGGTTAAATATCACTGTAGTAGGCAAATACATATCTGTATTGCATAACAAGCCTTAATCAAAAATGTTAATTAACTTCAGCATTACGTGATAAATAATATATCAAAGTGATTTCCGTCATTTTGACAGATTATAAATTGCATTTACCTGTGAAAACAAACCTGGAAAGAGACCTGAGGATTTGAGGAGAATAACGAGAGATTCTTCGTGCATTCCAGTGAATTATTAATGGAATATCGTAAATTAAATTCGGGAGAACAGACCACAAATGTGCCGTATATGTTTTCCTTTTTCATACTTTGCAGCGGATTGCAAAGGAAAAAATAAAAATCATCACGAGGAAAAGTAAGCAGCGACTGAAAAGAGCTCTTGCCGTAGATATTCTTGTTATAACATGTCACGTTAAAATACCAAGTATAACGTTATTCTTATGATGTCTGAAAATAAATCATGAAGGAAAATTGACAGCTCATCCAGTCAAACTGACGGATCAGCTTTATTTGTAGGGCAACCTTATGATTTGAAATGATTCGTTTTAGCCATTTTGAATGGAAGTTCCCCAAACCGGAAGTGCCACCCATAATTTAACACGCAGTAAGGTCGTCAGGAATAAGGTGGATAGACTGTTGTTGCTCCCCACCTTGATGATGTCACGGTATCCGCGGATACGGCAGGGGTGTGCGGGGTTCCCCTCCCGGTCGTCCTCCTCTTCCTCAGTGGCGGCGTAGCCTTCATCGGGGCAGGAGTCGCTCTCTGTGTCGCACACATTGGTCATGAGGTCGATGAGCTGCTCGAGCGGCGGGCTCAGCTCTCGCTCCTCGTTCTCTTTCAGCCCGTAATCCAGAGCCTTGTAGATCCTGATGCCCAGAGACTCGATCATCTGCAGCACAAACACACACACACACACTCATTAATCACTAACTTTGTCTTGTTTTTCAGTAAACCTATCTGAACATGATTCAAACAAGATACATTTACTTGCATTATATCAAAGCTTGTTTCAGAGAATATAACTTGACAATACTTCCAGGAACGTTCTAGGTATTTTAGAGCACTGGAAGGATGTTGTCTATGTGGGAAGAGCACTTACTACTGAAGTAGGGATATTTGAGACACAAGAAAACAGATACAGCTGATGTAAAACCTCAAACACAAAAGTAAACTAAATACTATTCGTGCCACAAGAACCTTGATGTCTCCAACAACAGCAGATCAGTCAATCCTGGGGCTGAACGGCTCGGTGAAACTCTCTCTGTGACCTGATATGCCGAAACTAGCATTGTTTAAGGCCTGTTACAACAGCTGTAAACTGGTAAGGCATCAATGAAAACCTGTAAGGTTTCTAATAACACACATACAGTAGGATACAGCAGTGGGTCTCGACCTGTGTTTAATATTGCGTGGGTTGTATTTCCTTTTCGACGATGATTTCACATCACATTACAGTCGGATTTAAGCCAAATACTGTAGCGTTTGACAGGACTCACAACCTTTGACATCAACAACAAAAGATATTTTCTTCTCGCTTGTATGAGCGAATAATCAGGACAGTCGTGTGACCCATTTTTTGGGCTGTGACCCACCAGTTGAGACCCACTAGATGTAGAGAACAGAGATGAGGTCTATTTGGTCACATTACTAAATGACATTTAATCGTTAGGATTAGTGTAAAAATCCGCTGCCAATTTAACAGCCCTTGTTTCCTTAAATTTTACACTGAAACACAGTTACATTTGCATGGCAGAATACACACAATCCTGCACCATAAATTCAGGGTCTAAATGTTGTGAAATTTTATTACAATTTAAAACAGCTGTTTTCTATTTGAATATATTTTAAATTTTTCCTGTAATTTATTCCTGTGATCAAAGCTGAATTTTCAGCATCATTACTCCAGTCTTCAGTGTCACATGATCCTTCAGAAATCATTCTAATTATTAATTAAACATTTATAATTATTATCAATGTTGAAATCAGTTGTGCTGCTTCATATTTTTTGTGGAAACCGTGATACTTTTTTGTTTTTCAGGATTCTTTGAGTAATTGTTTCAATACTGGCTATTACAAGAGAGATTCACTTTTCTATAGTTCTGATGGTGTTTTTGATAATATTCACATACACTGCAAAAAATGCTTTTCTTAGTATTTTTGTCTTGTTTCCAGTCCAAATATCTAAAAATTATTAAATCAAGACGCATTTACTAGATGAGTAAAAGTTTTTGCATTATACCAATGAGCATCACAAATAAATTTGTCACAATTGGTTTAGAAGAGGTTCTCAACTCTTGAACCCTCCAGGTCCACTTTCCAGCAGTTTCACTCCTACCTTTATCAAACTCCTAGCCTGGTTAAAACCAGACCATTCTCAGTTGTAACTGAGTTATGGTCTGGCAAAGCGTCATAGACAAATCATTTCCAGAGGGGCGTCACCAACGGACGTCGCGGATAGACCTAAACCCAATCAGAGCGATGAAGGAGATGACGTATGCAGAGCGGCGGAGAAACATCTCCGAGTGTTGTTCTTTGCTCGGTTTTTAACTAAAAGGAAACGTTCAAATGGCTTAAAACAGACGCGATAGCTGATTCGAACGAGTGATGTTCGACGGCGGCATCCATCTTTGTAATGTAGGCTACAAAATCTGCTTCAAAATCCCAGCGCTGTCGTCATCGGGTAAAGCCCGCCCCAACGTTTCTGATTGGTGCCGCGATTTCGGCGGATTGGAAATGGGCTTGAATGAGCTCTTTGCCAGACTAACTTTCAGAGCAAATCTAAATTTGCCGGAAGTTGTCTGGGTTTTCCCAGGCTATCAAACTCCCCTGTCTGTAATCCTGAAGACCTTGATTGTTCAGGTGTGTTTGATTAGGGTTGAAGCTGAACTCTGCAGGAAAGTGGACCTCGAGGGCCAGGGTTGAGAACCCCTGGTTTATGGTACTTTACATGACAATGATGTACTAAAAACAGAAAAGTTTTTCCTTTGCATTTTTTTGCATACTGACGACAATGTTGTCAAAATAATCCCGTTCACACGGATCCACAAAACGACTAAAAACGCAGTATTATGCAGCCAGGCCAGTAGTTGGCGATGTCACTATGAAACACTACACGCCTATGACTGAACACGTAATACGCATACACATGACGTCACCGGTTTCACGAATTTGCGTTTTTGTAGTTTACGCAGAGACGATAATGGTATCGTTTTCAAAAACGTGCAATTTGAAACCCGTTTTGAAAAGTTTGTGTTTCAGGCCCCTAATACGCCGTTGTCGTGTAATTGAACGGCCAAACTGCATAAAAGTTTTTAGTTGAAAACAGTGTCGTGCCCTTAGAATATAATAAAGATGTTACTTTGTGGGTTTTAAGTTTTCCACATGACTTAATGGTCAAATCTGTTGCCTGGAGATCAAAACTCATATATAATTTACATTTGACAGACTCTTTTATACAGAGCAAAAGTTCATGCATTCCCTGGGAATCAACCCCATGACCTTGGCATCGAGCTCCATGAATTTACTGTTTGAGCTACATGAATACAGCAGCTTCTGTCCAGTCATAAAGAGCGCTTTGTTAATAATCTCTGTGATTATTGGACTCAAACATTTACTGACAGATTCTTAAAATGAATTTCATCCAGAATGCATTAGCCTGCAATGAAGGGGTCAACACACTTCTTCACTGTGATATCTAGCAGCCAATTATCTTCACAAATAAAAGCACTGGGTAACAATAGCTTCAGTTTAAAAACGGAACATTAACCCTGAGAATCTCATAAAGAAAATAAGTACCCATGACCACGACTGAGGTAATGAAGAGCAACTGATGTTTTGTCTAAACATGATAATAACCAAAAGCACAGACTTCATGGAGCACAGGAACCGGATCTCAGTCCAGCCAGGGCCAGTTGCATAAACATAGCCACTATAAGAACAGCTAACTGTTCAACTAAGAACAACTAAGTGTTAAGAACTAGTCGGACCAACTAGAAAATAGTTAGTCCAATCTACCTTTTTAACTTTTAAAACTAGTCTAAGCAGTTTATACAACTGGCGGGTCTAACTTAATCTGGCCTTCGTACATCTAATTGCATCTAGTACGAATGTCAAATAGTCATGTAACAAAGTAAAATACAAGGAGCACAAATAAACATGAGCAAACAACAATACACACCTACAGGGCTATAAAATCAACATGAAATCAAAATTGACAATATAAATCAATATTTTTTTTTTTTGGAATATAGCAGTATTTATTATTAATTATTTGTCCGTGCACATCATTTTTTTAAATGTATGTGCCTCGTAAACTTTAATCAAAATAACTTCGTCAAGGGCGGGGGAAACCTGTCACTCACATGAGATCAACCAATAGCAAACCACAACCATCCAATCAATTCCCCACTGACAAAATAAAGCCCCGCCCTACATTTGTTCTCATTCGAGAAGCTGTTTCGCTCAGATACAATAGAGAAAAAAGATGATTGCAACTTCCGTTTCATGCCGACTTTAATTTACTCTGCACACAGACAACTAGACTAGCACTCTGCATAAAGTTCGATCCAGTTTATTCAGATTATTCTTGCCAAATACTGCCAACTAAAACAGACAGAGAAATGAAATGCAATTAAAGGTGCTCTAAGCGATGTCACGCGTTTTTTAGGCCAAAACATTTTTTGTCACATACAGCAAACATCTCCTCACTATCCGCTGGCTGCCTGTCCCCTGAACACACTGTAAAGAAACACGATCTCTGTAGACAGCCCAGGCTCCACAAACAGCAACAAAAACAAACTGGGCTAACCCGCTCCACGAAACATGACAAACAGTTCCAGCCAATCACCGACAAGGAGGACTTGGGGGCGGGGTTTGGGGGGTTAGTGTGCAGATGAGGAGGAGGGAGGGTCTAGCTAGCCTCCGTTTTGTTTGACAAACGTTAACAAGAAGTGACGTCACCCGACATCGCTTAGAGAACCTTTAAACACAGAAAATACACAGTTCTACTTGTGGATTAAATATCTTGGAAAAAAACTTTGAACAGTTCTTTCAGTCTGTTAGAGCTCTGCAGCGGGAGCTCATCGCTTCTGGAAAGCTGCTTAACAAGGATTTGACTATGGAGTGAGTCTCATATACACATACTGTAAGATGAGTTTGCTGTAGACTGCAAATCTGTCTGTGTGTGTTTGTGTCCTTATCCACCGGCATGCAGTGCTAGACCTGTCAGTGCTTCTCTCAGGACTAATACCAAAGTCCCTTTAAGACAAGTCATTTCACTTTGAGGCCATCTTTGAAACGCCTCTCGGGCATGCAAGTGCAGCTCCTATCTTTGCGAATGGGGAAACATCAAATTCTCCAAAACTGTTCGCCAAGTTTAAGATTACATCTCATATTTTAAATCACCATTGAAAACTGACAACAACATTTTTCAGGCTATATCAAGCTAATGCGCATGCGCAGTGGAATTTGCATATAAAGCAACGTTTCTATCCCATGCGTTCAAGAAAACAAAATCTTCACATCCTGGGAAATTGGAAGTGACGATTGGAACTGACGAAATTGGAAGTGACATTCTAAATGACTTGCGTCTCAGAGAGCGCAGAAACCCAATAAACATGTTATCTTGCGTTCGGATGACTGGTGTTTGGGAACGCAAGCATGTGAGACACTTATACCTTATACCTAACCATTGTGACGACAGACTTTGGTTCAGGCATTTCAGAATGAAACCAATATTTGAGATGCTGTGCAATGAAATTTGTTTGTTTGTATACTTTATTGTCCTTTTTCAGGACAATAAAGTATAAAGTGAAATTTGCCGCTGGTTAGTTCAGTTATCCAATCACATCCTCTGTTGAGGCAAAGTCACGTGAGTTTTTCTGTTGCACATCGAGGGATTTATTCAGTAAATGTTTCCATCATAGTTTATGTGCATAAATAATCCGAAAACAAGTAATCCGTCTTTTATGTGCATTTTTTTAATTTATGCACAGCTTCGCATTTCTATCCAGTGTTTTTTTTTAATGCAATATCACAAAATGTGCATAAAATTAGGTGGATGGAAACATACAGTAGCTAATGAGATTTGCTGAATGATCAATATATATTAGCAATGTTTGTTTGCATGAGTTCCATATAAAGAGAAAATAAACAAATGAGATTAAGAACCTTTCATTAGCAAATTTGATGAATGTTCATCAAACAATGACTATCATGAATACAATCGGTCATTGACTCATAGCGACTGAATTAAGTTGAGTTAAATGCATATTTAAATAATAGTCAAGTGAGAGTCCGTCACAGTCAGCTCTAGTCGATCTACTGTACCCATCATAAACCTGAAAGCTCAGATTCTTGGGATGTAAACAGTGATCTGTCGGGTCTATACGTCTCTAATTGGCATTTAAAATGTCACCAGCTGTTGACATCAAATTAAAAATGAACTTGTGGACTGACAAGCCGGTCAAGAGAGCAGAGAGAGCAGAAAACATCTGAATTTAGAAGAACACGGATGTGCCTGCAAATGTCTCTAAGCTGCAGGAGATACTGTGCTAATAGAGCTTATTCATTTCACTATTAAACTATTAGAAATATTTATGTTGATTAAAAAAATATATAAAAATCACGTGAAAAACAAACATATTTAGGCAACAGTTCTAATCTAATTTGAAGCACTAAAATTACTTACTAAAAATAAATTAAACATAAAAAGTAATATTTAAAAACAATGTAGGCCTACCTCACAAAACTTCTGAGAGATTTGGTGAATATTTACTTACTACAATAGTAACTTCTCTCTAGAAAGACAACAAAAGTGGACATTTACACACAAACTGACTACTAACCACAACTTTCAGATTCCATCTTTATTTTTTAGCTCAGCTTTCATGGAATAGAGTGCACAGGATTGTGGGATATCAAAGGCAGTGAAGGATACATACATCCAGGGCCGAAAATTAACACTCGCCAAACGCCAAATGCGAGTAAAAATTGTCAGTTGGCCGGTAACATTTTTATGAATTCTAACAATGCAAAATTGAGAGAACATGAACGTGAACAAATGTGAATGATGCTCAGGACAGTTAACGGGGCAGTGTTGCATCATCATGAAAGTTTAAGCCTTGCCAAATGAAATATTCAAGCTCAAAAAGAGCTTGAAAAAAAGGGAATCTTAATTCGTTACTTGTGCGCTGTGTGGGAAGTTTTCTGTGCGCAAACATCTCAGACAGGGCGCAAATAGTGAATCAAGCTCTCTTTTACGTCTTCTTGCGCTTGAACGGACATATTCAAACAGACATATTAATCCTTGTAAACATAGTCGGTTATGTCTTACCTGAACGTAAACAGTTGAGAAATAAAACATGCATGTGTATCAGTGTACTGGATCCATGCATCTGCTCTTAAAGTCACAGCGGTCAAATAAACCTGCTGTCTGTTTTTAATGTTAATCAAACAAGAAAAGACAGAGAACAATCACTCACTGCTCTTGACTGAATCACTTTTGTAACTGTAATAAGAATTAACATAAGGTTCATGGCTGGTAAAAAATACTTATGACCGGTAAATTTTGTTAAGTCACCGCCCATTGGCAGGTGTGGCAAAAACTTAGTTTTAGGCCCTATCTATACTTTACTTTACTTACTTTATACTTTATTGTCCCATTCCTGGGAAATTTGTCTTGGACAGCATGACACGGCCAGTACACAACTTCGGTCAAACACAACACAGTACATACAATAACATGCGATAATAAGAAAATAACGACATTTCAATGAATTATTTAAAAAACTAGCAGCATAATACATCAATAAAAAATAAAAATAAAAATCTCTATTTAAAATTTTAATCGCAGTTGGAACGAAAGAGTTTTTATAACGGTTAGACTTTAAAAATCGATCAAATGAAGGTATCTCAGTAGACATGTATTTTTCAGATTTCGGATGCAGACTAAATCACACTCAAAACACTTTAACAACTATGTGGCAATGCCCTGGCAACCCTCCACAACACCATAGCAACCACATAGCAACAGCTGGAAACACTTAAGAGGAGAAGAATATCCACATGTTACATATCCATGTCAAGACTGAACGATCAAACACATTTGACGCTCGTCCTGTCATGAGGTGTTACTGTACATCACTCACCTGTGTTGATGATCGGATCGGATTACGCACACCTATGAGACAACAGAAGAGAGGACAGTCAGGGACAGATTAAAAAAACAGCTTCTAAACATCCGTTATGTAATTGACTGGACAATCTGCAGTGCTTTGTTATTACATAAAACACACTGAAGGCGGCAAATGTGATGCACATATTCTTTATGCATCTGATGACTGTTAACGGCTCAGTGCTTTACTGACAACTTAATGCCAGTCGGCTTTGATTGAACATGCAAACACATGATGATGATGATTCTGAAATCCACTTCATCTCAGGACAAGGCAAAGTCAGCAAAGAAACGGACCTCTCCGCTGTTATTCTGCAGTCGACAGCGAATGAGGAACGTTTGCCACCGGCACTTTGACAAAGTAACTCTGCCTTTAACCTGCTTTCTCCACAAGACATATCGATCTTCTTGACACCATGTAAGCAATGACAGCATTTATTAAAAGGCAAACTGACCACCTCTCCTCTGAGAATATCACAAATGAAAGCAAAATCACAAATGAGATCTCTTTGATATTTCAATAGACAGCATAGAGAACAAATGGAGACTGTATAGACCAGATGTTTCTCTTGACAAAAGACTCCAGTAATCTTGCATGCGTCTGTTGTAGTTTCAAAAGAGATCTTAACTGTGAGCTCAGATCTGCCAAGATAACAAAATTTGCAATGAAATATTCATAAATCTCACTCAAGCATTTCTCATCAAATGATATGAGCAGCTATTCATGTTTTTACATCTCTATACTCTAGCTATTGACTCAACTAATGAGTAAAAAAAGAGGAACCTCTGAGCAATAATGTAATCCTCTGGAATGGTAACAAATATGTTAATCTTTTAAACTGTGGATAAGCTGAACAGTGAACATATTTCATTATTATCAGCAGCACTTAGACATGTGAAGCGATTAAAGCATTGGGGATATCGTATTCACAAGGCCTGTAAATGAGCTTGAACTAAAAAGATATTAACCTCATTCTCCATTCACAGGTGCTTAGTGGGTAACTTTCACACATATTACTTCATCACTGATACTATTAGAGCTTTTATTCATATTTTGAATGTAATTTTAGTTGAAGTTTTAGAAATGTTGTGTGTTTAAAAAAAAAATGTCTATATAGTTTTTATTACGTTATATTTGAGTCAGTAGCCACTTTCAAGAAACTGCTGAAGACGTATCTTTTTCGGCAGCACTTGATTCAGTAGAATTAACACTTTCTCTTCTCTTCTATTCTATATATAAAAAAAAAAATTAAACTGAGAGGGGTTATAGCACTTACGTATTGTTGTCCTACTGTTAGTTTAACTGCTTCTATTGTTCTCAGTTGTAAGTCGCTTTGGATAAAAGCATCTGCTAAATTAATAAATGTAAATTTCAGTTTTAGTGTTTGTTATTTTAGTACATCAAGGTAAACTAAATGGAAATGAGAAATGCTACCTTGGCAACAAGCTGAAATAAAATAACTTTATGTTTTTTATATGGTATTTTAGTTCAGTTAACATTTTTTTTATGGTTTTAATTTAGTTAACATAATAATAACCCTGTTTCAGATGCACCCAGGCCAGAATACAAATCCTAAATCCAAAAATCATGGGCTTCAGGGTAATTTTAGTTCATTATATCAAAATAAAATATATGAGGAGTGACATAGCATACACACTTCATTTGACACGAATTTGTGCTCAAAAGAACATTCTTTTGCAATATTTACAAAAAAATATGAAAATTAAATTTCACACAGCCATTGTGTTTATCAGCATGTGCATCAGGGAGCATCTATAACTGTAAACAACAGTGACTGAGAGCATTTATTTATGCTTAATTTAAACTTTCTTGTGTTTATTTTAGACTCATGCATGTTTTGAATTACGTCCACTGATTGAATCCTACTGGCTTTCTGATAAAGGCCTATTTCACAATCACATTCGTTCTGTTACATAATCAAAAAACTAAAAATGCAAAAACTACAGAAATGAGAAATATAAGATATTAGAAGCATGACACAATTGCAAAACATGTCACATGCAAATCTGCATATAAGGTGATCACTCAGTCAATATTGTGTATTTTGTGATGCAGAACACTAAGGATAAAATGCAAACATTTAAAAGATGTTCCAAACCATATGCATCCAAATGCATGACAATTAAGACCAAATATATATATAAATGCACATGCCGATGTATGTAATGGATGCAGAAGGTGTTGATTTGTCACCTGATCTGTCTCCGGAATGTAACCGTAACCGCACCGCTCCGTCTTTATAAATCCTCACATCTCCCGGTCCTCCGGTACCAGCAGAGCCACTGGAACCGTCCTTGTCCTCCAAACAAGAGCGACAGCACTGGTAACACACAGCCCACGCCTGCTCCTCGTTGATGGGCTGCTTGTATAGATGTAAAATCTCATCCAGGGACAGCTCATCTTCATCCTCACTGTCCATGATGGGATGCGCATCCTCCTCCTCCTCCTCCTCTATCAGCTTGTGTCCGTCATCTTCTTCATCATCATCCCTCCTGCGGGCCATCGTCTCATCCTTCCCCGCAGAGAGAAGAGAAACCCGGAGATGAATGCACCTGCGCTCGGTGTGTGTGATGCTGTTGCTGCTCTCACTGCTGTTTCTGCATCACAAGCGCGAAGAAGGCCAACTACGTCAAACGGGGATGTCAAAGTAGGCGGGGCTCAAATAATAAGTGTACATTTAAAATTAAAATTTTAATGAAAAATATGGCACAACTATGAGCATGACCATGAGTACGAATAATACTTAGTACAATAATTTACCATACAGGTAAATAATATATATTAGAATATATAGGCCTATATATAATAGGCTATAGTAAAATATATTTATATAATATATTAATATATCATAAAAACGTGTATATATTTATATATACACACATATATATTACATTTGAATAAAAAAAGACTTTCACTGAATGTCACGTGTTATCTGTTCCTTTTCTCTGCGCTGGCCAGAATGGACCAATCAGAGTCATTTGGGATCACACAAGGATGTCGTTACTAAATAAATGTGTAGAAGTTTAATTTAATGTCAAGTAACGTATAATTAATAGATTTAAAGAATTATAGGCTAACTTTTAGACTATAAAATTATTCAAAACGTGCGGAGAATTGAATGTGGCTCAATATAGAGATTAGGCTATCTGAGCCTTTTAGCGCCCCCTGGGGTAAAACTAATATGACACAAAGGAATCGAGTGGAAATGTTTGATATTCTTTACATATTCATACAGTTTTGAGATTCAAAATATACATATTAATAATCCAAATTATATAATATATTGATACATGTTCACATCCAGTTGTTTTAAAAGCATTCTGCTGTCTTTGAGGGTCACGCATCTCATATATTCATAGATCGAAAACAGAAAATGTTTTTTATATGGATCCTTTGAATTACAAGTTTCATGTTAAATTGCAGTCATTATTTGTGGTTTGTTTCGGAAAAACTGGCCCGCGTTGGCGTTGTTTTGCCACCAGAGGGTGATACGCAAACATTTCTTTACACACTTTCTCAGCTGAGCACTTTACCAGCGCAATCCTGATCTGTTAAATGAATATTTCCATAACTTCAAACTGTCCGTTGATAAAATATATTTCTGGTGTAGTTTGACGGCGTCCTCCTCGAAAGATTAATCTTAGTGGCTGTTGCTCGGTAACCATCAAACGTTCAAACACGATACGTAATTAATATTTATGAGGTAAGTCTTTACCCAAGTTTGATTGGCTAATTCACCAACATAGTCTATTTAATATTCATAAGCTTTGTGCTGCTCATGCGCATTGTGGGTTAAAAGCTTCAAAACAATGGCGGTAGACGGTTTGACCATAACAGAGCAATGGATCAGAGAGAAACTCAACCTTCAACACAGTTGCTTAGGTAAACAAAATTATACAGTTATTTACATTATATACTCTGTCTAATATATAGTCACAATTTGATCAACTAATATTTTGAATAATTTATTGCAGCGGATGTCCGATCATTGACTCTTCCAGGAACTTATGAAGGGAAAATCTTTCATTTAGGAACATCCCTAAAAAACTTTGTCCGTCTGAAAACATTGGACCTTTCACATAATGCACTGGTTACAGTAAAGGTGAAGATCAACATGTATAAATAAATATTAATGTAGTTTATAACATCAACAACTAGTCATTTGCTTTTATTAGACTTTATAACTTCCTTATTAATTAACATGATAATTACATTAATGATTATGGTGAATTATAGAAACATCAGTAGATAATGTATTCAAATATATATATATTATTGTTGTCAAATTGATTAATCACATCTAACATAAACATTTGTTTTTATAATATGTGTGTGTGTGTGTATATATATGTGTGTGTGTGTGTGTGTGTGTGTAAATAAAGTGAATTCTAATTGTAAAAGTACTTGTTATTAGCAACCACTGACAGTAAATCAAAACTTACAGAAAGGTGAACGCTGTGTCATATCTGTCATGCTGATAATTGCAGGGGATTGAGCGTTTGGAAATGTTGGAGAGACTGAATCTGTACTACAACAGACTGGCGTCTCTACAGGACGTCTTTTCCCTGCACAAGCTGCAGAATTTGAAGGAACTGGACCTACGGCTGAATCCTGTGGTCAAGAGACACCCGCACTACCGTTTGTACCTGGTCCATGCAATGACCAAACTCCGCAAACTCGGTACATCATCTCCTTTCTCTGTGTTTCTGTGTCGGGCTGACTGGGATGCCCAAATCAAGCAAATCAATGTTTTGAAAGTGTAAATGTTGTTTTTCCTCTCTGTTATAGATGACTGTCCAGTGCGAGACAGAGAAAGAAGGGCGGCTCTCATGCATTTCTCATCAGAGGCAAATCTAGACACTAATCATAAGAAACATGTCTTAATACAAGACACAACTTCCAGGTATTGCAGTGTTGTTATTGTTAACCAAAACTAAAACTATTAAAAAGTTAGTTTTCAGAGGTCATTGATAATGCCACTGTTTTGCAGAAGTAGTGAGCTCAGAATAAAAGCGATGCAGAAGCTGATGATGACGCTGTCGCTTCTAGACGGGAACGAGGAAGCTGCGCTCAATGATGTTTCTAGCAAGACCTGGAATAGCAAGAGACCTCAAACTCTCTCCGTCCGCTCTGAGAACGAGTGCAGCCCTCATCTGTTACAGGGTAAATACTGCACAGTCACCACACTCTATATATCATTTGCTTTATCAGTATAGTCTGCTGCAGCTGAAAGACAAACAGTATTTCCAATATATAGTTATTATAGTAATAATACATCACCCAGCCATACAGAGAAATAATATATACAAATCGCATACCAGTGCTTTACCATGTTTAATGCATGAGTGTAAAACTTTACTGTTTGTGTACATAGTCTCTGCTTGTAATTGTCAATTGTTTTTCTTTTTCCCTCTCTCTCTTTTTATTTTTTTAGAAAATCCATCTGAATCTGATATCATACATTTAATCAATGATTCTGATTGTGAAAGGTTGCCAAAACAAAATCAGGTGCATCTGCGTCTATTCAATATTATTAGCAATTACTATTTCAGTTATCATATATATATATATATATAATTTTATTTAATTATTTAATTGTCTGTCATGTAGGAATCTGTTCCCAAGGTCTCGGTTTATAAGAATGGTAAATATTTTTTGTTATTCCACTTTTGTTGTACAAGTGATTTGCTGTTTAACCTTTTACTGTACAGGGGTTTGACAATGAAACTGAAACACTGGCCAATATAGTGTTGGAGGATTCAAGCCTACATATGTGCGGCCCTTCACTGATTTACATTCATCAGTATAAAGGCTGAATTAGCAGAGCAATAGCACAGCTGTACATAAAATATTGCAATCCACACACATAATGCGAGGCATATCAGAGTTCAAAAGAGGACAAACTGTTGGTGCGTGTCTCTGGTTCATCAGTGATCAGGACAGCAAGTCTTTGTGTATCGAGAGGTGTAATATCCAGAGTCATGTCGGCGTAAACCACAGAGGACGAACAACATCCAACAGGAGTAAGCTTCTGACAGAGATGTCCAGGTACTAACCCTGATTGTATCCAACAAACATAAAACCACAGCTGCCCAACTCACTGCACTTGGGCTGTGGATAATGTGAAACACATCGTTCTCTGATGAGTCCACCTTCATTATCTTTCCCACATCTGTGTGAGTTACGGTGTGGAGAAACCCTAAAGAGTCTGAACCCCTGGACTGTTTCTGCTCAGAGTGAAGCACGGGTGGATCAGTGATGGTTTGAGCTGCAATATCATGACAATCCTGACTGTGTTTGACGGACACGTCACTGCCGAGGACTACCGAACCATTCTGGAGGATTATGAGCACCTGATGTTCAAACCGTGTATCAGCATGACCATGCACCAACACACACAGCAAGACTTGTGACAGAAGGGTTTGAGGAAGATGAGAGTGACGTTTAACATCTCCCATGGTCTGCACAGTCACCAGATCTGAATATTATTGAGGTGTTTTGGAGAAGCGAGTCAGAAAACGTTTTCCTCCACCAGCATCATATAGTGACCTGATACTGTTCTGGAAGAGGAACGGCTCATAATCCCTCTGGCTGTGAAGGACTTCTATCTGTCATTCCCAAGATGAATTGATGCTGTATTGACGCAAAAGGCGGCCCTACACCATACTAATAAATAATTGTGATCTAAAACCAGGTGTTTCACATTCATAGTCCGACCCCTGTACTCAGTATTGTCAATATTGCTGCGGAATCACCTTTTCTTTTTTTCGGATTTACACCATTAGAGGCTCCCGTTCGTTCTCATAGAGTCACGTTTGTGAGCCCCATCGTGGAGAGCCGTCGTTCAGTCAGGAGTCTGACTCACGCCACAGTTCGAGGAGAACACGTCTTCACGCCGCATCCTACAGACATGCGGTCAGCTTCACAGGGTACTTCAATACTAGTCTACATTTACTTCCAGACTATTCACTTTTAAATTAATAAAATAAGCTGCCTAATAAACCCGATATTGCATATTACGATTCTTTTTCTCTGTGATTAAAAGTTTTTGTTCCTCTATTTTAAGTCGCTTTGGATAAAAGCGTCTGCTAAATGCATAAATGTTAATGTAAATAGAAATAATTTACATTATTTTGTTGCAGAACATGATTGCACAGCCATTAAATGGCAAAACCAACATCAAGACAGAACAAATCCAGTCGTTCATCCTCCCAGATTAACCTACCAGATCCCAGGAACCTCAGATAGAAGCCCATCGGTGTCAGAGAGAGGACGCAAACCACGGAAGGTCGGTAACGGTCTCTGTTTCTCTAGGCTGCAACTCCTCAAACACAAACAGACCTGACTGTTCACTTTCTCATTGATCTGAATCAGGGTGTCTACAGGAAGCCTATGGAGTTGCTCCTCAGCATGATGGAGGAGCTCTGGTCTGGGAAGGAGGAGAGTCAACAGAACAGGACGTTCCTCAGTAAGTGATCCTCTCCATGAAAGACCAGTCCATAACTGGTAAACTATTCCCACTATTATAATCCAGTGCTTTCTGTCGGTGATGTCCAGTGAAGATGGTTCAGATCCTCAGCATGATGGAGCAGGATGTTTCGGGAGGAGAACAGGAGATCCGAACTCTTAAAGAGACGCTCAAAGCCTTGAACGCTCGGAATGAACTACAGGAAAAACAACATCAGTCTGAGACTGAAGAACTGACACTTCAGCTTCAGCAGGCGCAGGAGTCCATCGTAAGATTATTTCAATCAGATCTGCTGCTTTGAATCGTTTTGTCTTCAAGGGGTCCGATTGTGCTTTTTCACATTTTCAACTTTCTTTAGTGTGTACCAAAGTCCCTCCAGCAGGAGTTATTCTCTATATCAGTGTCAGTGTTTCTGAACTCCCTGAAACGCCTCCATTGTAGTCTTGAGTTTTCTTCCAGGAACGAACACGTCACAATATTACTCATTTTAATAATTCCCGCCCAAGGCATATGCAGAATAAAGGGGCGGGGCCTGGTTGAGTTTGTTAGAAGTGTGTTGAAACTCACTGTTATGGTAAGGGGCGGGACATTTGGCATTTGAAGCGGTTGACCAATCACAACACACTGATCCAACTGACCAATCAGAGCCCATTGTGCTTTTCAGAAGGATGGGCTTCATAGACACAGGAACTAAACAGAGCGTTACTGACAGACTGGGAAGAGAGGAGCTGCAACAATGGAGAATATGTGAAAAATAATGTGTTTATTGAACATTCAAACATGAAAACCTATTGTAGTCAAGACTTTTGACAAAGGGCATAATGGGTCCCCTTAAAATTTCACAAAAACCCAATGAACAACGTCTTTAGTGTGCTTGTGCTTTACTGTATATTGCAAGTTTTGCCACACAAAGCTAGTATGACTTCAGAAGACTTGGGGCCTGGTGTATAAGCATTACAGTGCGTGCATAATTATTAGGCAAGTCCATATTCTAATCATATTTTTTTCCAAGCACATTTTACCAATTCCAAACCACATCAATCTTAATAACTAGTACTATTCATTTAGTATATAATCATCTATAAGTGCTATAATTGTTGATGAGTCTCTGAGAACCTGATACTTCTGGAGACTTAACTCTACCTTAATTCTTAAGTATTTTGCAGTTAATATCTTTCCTTCTCAACCTGTTTTTGTGTGTGTTAACCTGCTTCCCCAATGAGCATTTCTTGTCCTTAATTTTGCATTTTCTGTAGTATGGCATCCTTCTGCATTTAATATAATAAATTTTTACATTTAATATAATAAATATTTGACTTTTCGATGTTAAACCTCTTTTTTTTTTTGTCCCAATGAACCTGTAAAGGAAATCCTGCTTAATAATTATGCACATCTGAATATACCGTAAGGTGTTTTTCACCTCCAGCCCTCGTCAACAGTTATATCACTTATAAATTATTATTTACAAAATGAATAGTAGTTGTTAAGATTGATCTGGTTTGTAATTGGTATAATGTCCCTGGAAACAAAATATGATCAGAATATCAACTTGTCTAATAATTATGCTCGCATTGAATGTATGCTCAAATTGGGCATTGAAATGTGCATACACAGTTTTCCATGCACATCGGAATTTATAAAAATATATTTATGGATATTTTTATTATAGATTGTGGCATTGGCATGATTGGCATTTACAGTATGTCATAATTTCATTGTTTTCTGAAACCGTTAACAGGGTAGTATCACGTGGATGGGAATATCCATATGGAAATTAAATGCAAAATGAGGTTATGTATAGTAAAACTAGTTTTAGGTGTTTTTTGTCCTTTTTTTCCTCTTTGGAAGTAAATAATGAGAGCTTTAATTTTTCATTCTTCATGCGTCATATTTCTGCACTTGTCTTTAATGCAGGCAGCCCTTAATGAGCAGCTGAAGAATGTGTTGGAGGAGAATGTGTCTTTACAGAAACAGCTTATCAAAGTAGAAAAGAAGCGGCTGTCCTCTCACCTGAAGAAAACACCACACATGGAGAGCAGAGGTTAGTACCTTTAAGAATGAGAGTTGTTGAATTAAAACGGGTTTAATAATGTTTGTGCTTTTAGGAGAGCAGTCAGTCCCTGAGGAGTTGAAGGAGAAAAGACATACAAGTCAAGATGGAAACGGAGCAAATGACCCGCATGAGAGCTACAGGTGGGTGTCAAGGTGATCCGAATGCAACACAGCTGTAAAACCCAAAACATTTTGTTCATTTTTTTTCTTTTTGCAGGTCTTTGATAGCCAGAAATGAGCGTTTGCTGCAGCAGTTGGAAGAGGCTCTAATGAGCTTCCAATAGACAGTGTGACATCTGCATTTAGAGAAAGTTTTAATTTAATATAAATCTGTCCTTTGAAAGATGTTGATACCTCTTTGTGTAAAAGCCTTTTGTTTTATATACACAGTCTCAGCATGTTCATGTGTTCTCTGTATATTCCTACATCCAAGAATCAATCACATATTCACATTTTATGTGCAAATGTGTTGGTTCGACCAGAGAGAGTGTTTTGTATATACAGACCATTCCTTTGAGCTTTCATGTGGATAAATGAAATAAACGAGAACCAGGCAGTTTGTTTTTTTATTCAATACGATGCTACAAAACACTTACACGTTAAAATCATTTTATCACCATATGACATGCATATCAGGACACTGTAGAACATTAAAAAACATTATTTTAAAAAATATGACAGTATTGTTCCTCAAAATGGATGGTTAACAGCATTTGGCATTAAGCACACAAAACATTAAAAAACATACGTTAAATACGTCAACATGTATGCTTATTTGTGGTTTATTATCATAAATATGAGTCACTTTCTGAGCAGAACCTGCAGGAGAGCTTGACATTTATGATCCGTAGCCACTTTTCTTATCTGAAAATAGATGTTCTGTAGAAGAATACGTCTGTACACTCTCACTCGTCCCTTCTCTCCATAGACATGGACAATATCATCTATTACAAAGGGTTCCCACAATCACGTAAAATATCAGGGAATTTGAAATCTGTGTTTTCCAGGTCTGGAAAAGTCGTCATAAAGTCTTAAAAGTTCTTATTCTTGAAATTGTATATTATGAATATAGATTTTAACTAGTGATAAACATAGCTCCGTTTTAAACTATTAAATGAGCTAATAAATATTGCTTTTGCATTGAGTAAAACTTGTTCACAAGCCATAGTGAGGTCCGATTTGTGAGCGATTCATTCTTTTGAGTCGTTTGTCTTTAGTCTCTGGAACGTTAGAATGATTCATTAGTGAATCGGAGCGATCTTTTTTTAAATCCAGTTTTCACAGAACGACTGGAATGGTCATAGAAAAGTCATTGAAATTCATTGGTCAGAAGTGTGGGAACCCTGAAGGTTGGATCTTGTCCAGTGTGTTCAGATGGCAGTGCGTTTATAAATAATTCAGAACACTAGTTATGGTAAAGGGAATGTATTCATTTAGACTTATGCCATGCCAGCGTTAGTTACAGCATGTCACTTCTCTTGTAAACATTGTTCTGTAGGCAGAAACACTAACAGCAAAGTGCCTTGATATGACATGTTATATATAACAACAGTGCTTTTCAAACTAAAATCCACAGCAAAATACAAAAATTCCTTTTAATACCCTCATTTGCAGTTTGATCTATTGCTGATAAACAGGGCCAGGCAGAATCTGCAAACTTAATCGTGTTTTATATGCTGATTTTGGGGTGAAATCTGCATATTGGATTTAAATATGGTAAAATGTGCTAATTAAGAGCTTAGAGTAGGCAGAAAGATGATCAGATTAGCCAAAATAATTAATAAACGAATAACAAACTGTTCTGATTCAGCGCTGCAGGTTCTGTGCAAGTCTGATTATACGTGTTCAAATCATTAGAAACTTCTACATTGTTTTTGGCATTTTGTTTGCTCAAAGCTCTTGGTCAAGATACACAGAGGAGTTTTGAAAGGACATCAAGCCCTGCTGGTCTGACATTATTCAGTCTGTATTGAGGTATGATAACGTTGGTAAAAGGTATTGTAATACAGAGCAATTAGGGAAATGACAAGAAAATCCTGAACCTTTTGCTGATGGTGTTTCCTTTTACATACGGTAATATTGTTAATCATTCCACAATTAAAAACACACAGGCAGTGTTTCATATTATGCCATTATAGAATCAGAAATACAAAGTTATGCCATTAACTTGTCAAACCTACAAAAACATCGACCAAACAACTAGATATACAATCTTGAGCACCAGCGGTCAATTCTTTATGCATCAAACAACAATTTATGATGGTTGGACTTTTGCATTCAGTTATAGATCATAGAGATGTGTATGAAATGCAAACAGAATCAGATTTTTTTTACATTTTTAAATCTAGATGATCTTGGTACAGGTAAATTAGATGGGGAAGCAGAAAAAAAAAAGTCAAGTCAGTTTTTAAAGCCACATATGCATCCAAATTACTTAAAGGGGTCATGACATGAGAAATCAAATTTGCCTTGTTTTTTTACATACAAGAGGTCTTTGAACAAGTAAAACATCCAGCAAGTTTCATTGTTTAAGCATTTAATCATGCTCCAAAACGGCTGATTTGAATAATGAGGGATCTGTGACATCACACAGGCAAATACATTTGCATATGCCCGCCTCCAGAGCAAGACATCGACGAATATTTATACATCATTGCACCATAGGCCCCGCCCACTGGCCTTCAGTCGCTTAATGGCTGACATTTGTCAACACTGGATGTGAGTGTCGCGTCAAAAGCAAACAGAAGGCATTATAATCATTGACACTGGATACAGTATACAGATGCGTGTTCAGTTTCGCTAAACAGCTCTTTTGTGACTCTGTACAGACTTCAGAAGGATCGCCGAGTCGGAAACAAGTGGATGGTTTATTTTAATGGCGTCCCGGATCGGATTGGAGGATTATATGTTTGTACGGAGCATTTTGTTTTGTCAGCGAGGCGCAGTGTAATGGAGAGAAACTTTTGTGACAGATGAAGCTACAACTGTACTGGATCTTATGGAAGCTTGTTTCCGCCACAGAATGAAAAATTAAAAAGGTAAATGCGACTTTTTATCTCACAATTCTGACTTTTTTTCTCACAATTGCGAGTTTACATCTCGCAATTCTGACTTTATTTCTCAGAATTGCGAGTTAAAAAGTCAGAATTGCGTGATATTAAGTCGCAATTGCATGTTATAAAGTCAGAATTGCGAGATATAAAGTCAGAATTTATTGATATAAAGTCGCAATTGCAGGTTATAAAGTCAGAATTGCGAGATATAAAGTCGAAATTGCGTTTTGTAAAGTCAGAATTGTGAGATATAAACTATTCTGAGGAGGAAAAAGTTTTTTTTCCCCTTAGAATTGGCCTGATAACTCGCAATTGCGAGTTTATATCTCACAATTCTGAGAAAAGATGTCAGAATTTCGAGATATAAACACGCAATTATGTGTTATAAAGTCAGAATTGCGAGATGTAAACTCGCAATTGTGAGAAAAAAAGTCAGAATTGTCGCAATTCTGTATTTTTTCTCGCAATTGCGACTTTATTTCTCAGAATTGCGACTTTATATCTCACAATTGCGACTTTATTTCTCACAATTCTGACTTCATATCTCGCAATTGTGAGATAAAAAGTCGCAATTATTTTATTTTATTTTTTTATTCAGTGGCGGAAACAAGCTTCCATAGGATCTGACAGTAGCTGCATCATAAAACATAAGTTATTTCATAATGCTTTGTCTGTAAATGATAATGTTCTCAAAAGCTTGTGGGCGTGGGCGTTGATACCGTTTCCTATGCAATGACGTCAGCCAATTAGAGGACGTTTACTGACAAGCCTTAAAGGAGCCGTCCCTTAAAAGTTTCAGACAGAGGATCAGAATGAAGGTTGAAAAAAAAAAACGTTTTCCGAATATATACTTGTTTTTTGTGCAGAAAACTACCATTTTAAGTGAACCTCAAGGAACATTTGTCATGACCCCTTTAAATATAAGTCTGTCAAACAAAGTTAAATGTTTTTTTTTCTAACTTAGGCCTGAAACATACTTTACAAGCATGCTTTTAAAGTATACAAGGACCAAATTTACACCTTGAATGCAATTTAAGCGTCTGCCAAATGCATTAAAAAGAAGTGGAAAATATAAATACGTGATCGTACTTCTGGTTTTGCAAGCTCAGTTTTGTGTGCTATTATAATGCAAATTGTTTAATGGCACAAACATTTGAAGGAAACTTTCCCATGGTTTAATGCACTTGCATTGCATTGCTCAAGCGTTTGCATGTAACTTATATTTCAGGCCTGACTCTATTACATCATAAGAGAAGCCACAAATGCCAAATATTCATATATGCATTTAATGTCAATATTTACGACGGATTATCAGCAAAAAACACTAATACAGCGTGCAATATTGTCTTTCTCTTGGCATCATCGTGTTTGTTAGGAACGTACCAGCTGGTGACGTCAGTGTTTGGATGTAAACAGCGTTCCAGTTAAAAGTAATAAAACACTTAAAGGAAGAGGAACATAAACTCAATGTTATTCACAGAAAAAAAGACATACCCCCCATTGTGCTTTAGAGTTGGGTTTCGCGTTCACTGCTGGATGGAGAATCTCACACGGGTTTTTGTGGAGGTTTTTGAATCTTCTTCTCGTATGACCCTGCGTGCTTGTATCCAGCGACGTATCCGGACGTGTCCACCACTTCCACGCGTCCCGCCTTCCCCTTCCCGCGACCCGTCTCGTCGAAACGCTCCTTGTGCGATCCGGTGAACTTGGTGGTGTCAGTCAAACGGGACACGGTCGGAGAAGCCACGGCTCTCTGTGTCGAGAAAGAGAAAGAAACTTTGAAAAGGAATAGTTCTCCCAAACATCACTAAATCTGTCTTCATTTAGTCATCTCATTATTATGGGAGTATTATTCCTCTAAAGCGCCATCAGTATAATGAACAATGAACATTTAAAACAATGGATCTGGAAGAACAAGATTACATTGTAGTTGGGGGCCTTAAGCACATTTTCGCGCAAATTCATCTAAAAGCGCCAAATTTGGCACAGATGTAGCTCAGGTTATACCAAAATGATTTAGCTAGGGCGCCGGAGCCAGCGACCCTCGGGGCCAAGATGGCCGCCAAATCCTATGGGCTTCCCATGGTCAAAAAAGGTAAAATAGACATCAAGTTTGTATTTGTGTATCATCTGGCTCAAAAGCTATAGCCGAATCCCTTTCAGGCGGAGGCCATATTGGATTTGGCCGCCATCTTGGTCTCAGGGACCATTGGCTTTGGCGCCCTGGCTAAATCATTTCAGTATGCCCTCAGCTACATCTGTGCCAAATTTGGTGCTTGTAGATGAATTTATGCTAACAATGGGGCGTAAGGCCCCATACTAAAGCCCAAACTGCTTTTTTGGACAGCGGCCATATTGGAATTGGAGGATCAAGGGGTCCATATATAGTGGGTCATAAATATAAACATTCCTATGTGTTTCCCACGATCAGTTAAGCTGAAAAACATATCAAGTTTGTATTTGTAACTCATGTGGTTCAAAAGTTATAGCCGTAACCCTTTTCGGGCAGCGGCCATATTGGATTTGGTCGCCATCTTGGTCTCAGGGACCATTGGCTTGGGCGCCCTGGCTAAATCATTTCAGTATGCCCTCAGCTACATCTGTGCCAAATTTAGTGCTTGTAGATGAATTTGCGCTTAACAATGGGGTGTAAGGCCCCATTTTAAAGCCCAAACTGCTTTTTTGAACAGCAGCCATATTGGAATTGGAGGATCAAGGGGTCCATATATACTGGGTCATAAATATAAACATTCCTATGTGTTTCCCATGATCAATTAAGCTGAAAAACATATCAAGTTTGTATTTGTAACTCTTTTGGTTCAAAAGTTATAGCCGGAACCCTTTTCAGGCAGCGGCCATATTGGATTTGGCGGCCATCTTGGCCCCGAGGGTCGCTGGCTCCGGCGCCCTAGCTAAATCAGTTCGGGATGACCTGAGCCAAATTTGGCGCTTTTAGATGAATTTGCGCGAAATGACCTATTTATGTGCTTAAGGCCCCCAACTATTGTGAAAACCTACACATGTACAATGCCATTTAAAAGTTTGCTTTAAGGTTTGTAATGTTTTTAAAGAAGTCTCTTTTGCTCACCAAAGCTGCATTTATTTGATAAAAAAATACAGTAAAACAGTAATATTGTGAAATATTATTACATTTTAAAATAACTGTTTTTGATGTAAATATATATTGTAAAATGTAATTTATTCCTGTGATCAAAGCTGAATTTTCACCATCATTACTCCAGTCTTCAGTGTCACATGATCCTTCAGAATTCATTCTAATACGATGATTTGCTGCACAAGAAACATTTCTGATTTTTATCAGTGTTAAACACAGTTCTGATACTGAACTGAGGAAACCCTGATACATTTATTTCAAGATTTTTTGATAAATAGAAAGTTCAAAAGAACAGCATTTATTTGAAACGGAAATCTTTTGTAACATTATAAATGTCTTTACTGTCACTTTAGATCAATTTAATGCGTCCAATAAAAGTATTAATTTAATTCAAAGATAACTCATAAAATCACCACTATTATTACATTTAGAAATCAGCAGTTTAGCTGTTTAACTGTAAACACGAATTATTCACATACTGTACATTTAAAATAAATTATTAAAGAAATAAGTGAGTAGATTTCATCCATATACTCCAAAGCAAGGATTCCCAAACGAATCCAAAATATTCCCCTTGAGATTTTAATTTAATATTTTATTAAATTTAACAACACCTTTGTTCACAGTTCTCTGATGACATGCAGGTAATACATTTTTATTTTTTATTAATTCTTAGCTTTTCCTCGACTCCAACTCTCAACTCCATAAAACCCCAGTTTGAGAAAAACAGGATACTATTATTTACAAGTGAGTTATACACCAAGCGATTCATCTTAAAGAGGCAATGAACACGAGAAGTGCTAGTATTTCAAAGTTTCCGAATATAAATGTGTATTGATTTCGAGAAAGAACAGCACTTTTGCTCTGGGCTTTACCGTGACTCCAGATATAACGGGTGATTTTCCTTCTATCAGTTTGTGAAGCTCTTCTGCGGCGTCCTCGCTGCTCTTATCTTTGAAGCGTTTCCTGGCCAGCTCCACCAGCGCTTCTTTGAACTGGCTGTATGTAATAGTGCGGCCAGATTTGTTCCTAGAAAACAATTACATAAAGCAAAGACAAATAGATGATAAATTCATCAGTATATATTGTGGCATCAAATATAAACACATAGCGAGGCACAAACCTGCAAGACCTGATTAAAAGAGCTTCTGTAAACACACGAGGAATGCTTTAGATCTGATTGGCCGGTCTGTCTAAAAGAGTGGCACATGCAAATGAAAAATATAATGTTCCAAACCTCTTCTGCTTAACATCAGAATAATACATCTTGAGGGCGAGTAAATGGATGAAATATACATTTGAGTTTGCGTGGTAACTTAACTGCCTCGATAAAGGCCTCTGAAAGTGCGGCATGCTCTCCGTCTGGACAGACACAGTGTAAACAGCCGTGTGCGATAACACAAACATGTCAGCTCTGAGGGCTCCGGCGTTTGGGTCATTACACACGGCCAGCGGACTCAAATTCACTTTTAATCAACTTTTAAAGAGGACGAGATGCTTCTCATATCTTATTTGTTGCTGTCAAGGGCCAAGCGTCCAATCAAACTCGACGGTCTTTCATTTACTTCTGTATGATAAACAGTTTTGGTTCTGTGTTTGGTCACCAAAATCAGCAGAAATAATTGATTTACAAGTAGGATTTACATTTTGACTCGGGCGCATTCGGCCTATTTAGCAACCGTGTTTAATTCCACAGTGGCGCTTCTCATTTCCACGGTAACAACAGTGCATAGTAACACAAACACAAACAGTTTTACCGTGGTGACCAAGAACCTAAACAAAGCCCCATAAAGCCTGTGGTCTCCCCCAGCAACCTGCTGTCATAGCAACAAGCTTTGGTAAACACGCCTCTTTGGCTTTATAATTAATTTGACTTTGTTTTGTTTGTGCGATCCTTCAGCGCTCCGACTGTTCGCTGCTGCCTAATGTCAGCTAAGAAATTCAGCGCTGTTCCCTCTCTAAACTATGAGTATGCACTGAATGCTTTCATATTTACATAAATATAGTCATAAACAGCCATATTTAACTCTACATTCACTATTGGTCAAAAGCACTTTTAATGTTTTGGAAAGAAGTCTTTTCTGCTCACCAAAGCTGCATTTATTTGATAAAAACAGTAATTTTGTGAAATATTATTACAAATAACCGTTTTCAATGTGAATATATTGTAAAATGTAATTTATTCCTGTGATCAAAGCTGAATTTTCAGCATCATTACTCCAGTCTTCAGTGTCACATGATCCTTCAGAAATCTTCTAATAAGCTGAACCTTTGACTAGCTTTTATTGAAACATTTTAACATTTAACATCATTTTAAAGTGAATTTTTTTTCATGTGTATTTGTCTATAATGTGGTATATGTGCTGAACAGGGGAGAGTTTAGTGTTTGCATTGCGTGCTGCAGTTTTAAATGCGGCAAGGCTTTATCAAGCATCATTAGGATGAATCGGGACTCATGAGGGGCTTTAATCTGTCATGGGCCGCACTGATTAAAGGAAACATGTGTCTTTAGTTCTGTGATGCTGATCGACGGCAGCGTCTCTTTTAAACTCAATCCTGATCTTTGGCTTGAGACACTGTACACACACACACACACACACTGACTGCACATGTGTTCATGTAATCAAGTTCAAAGAGGGCAAGAAAAACTTTTCTAAAAAAAATAAAAATAATTGATCAACATATTTATCTGAAATAACTTCCATTTTGCTCGCTTACTTCACAAGACTTAGAATATAACGCAAGAGTTGTCTGCACTACTGTCAAGATATTTTAATGGGGCTTTTTTGGAGCTTTACAGATGGTTTATGAAAAAGCGTGAAAATGTTTAAAAATAACAGCATAAAGGTTTGGAATGACATAAGAGTGAGAGAATGATGACAGAATTTTCATTTTTAGTTGCACTTTTCCTTTAAATGTTAACGCAGAGCGTGCAAGCACTTTCTGCCTCTTGTTTCTGCTCGTTTCTTGTTCTGGGAAAACAAATCTCTTGATAAAAGGCAGAGAATTTCCTCAATGCATAAATAGTACAAGGATTTGATAAATTCATTCTCCTCCTCGAGCAGTGTTTTCTAAACATCTCAAACTGAACGGATCAGTGTGTCGACGGTGCTCTATATTAAGGGCACATCGTTAAAATCGGTCCCTATTGAAGCAGCGATGACTCTTTCTGTCCTGCAGTCATCAGGGTTATTCAGCATGAGCCATCATGGCCTGTGGCTGTGGGGGATGAGCCTGAGAAATATCAACACAGCACGACTCCTCTTCACTGCATATTCAGAAATATGCATGAACAAAAATGCATGCAATGATTAAAGGAAAATATGTTACTGTTACAGAAAATATCAGTTACACTCCTACACTTTAAAGCCTATTGCACCAATCTAATATTTTGACACATGCATTTTTATTATCCCAGTTGTTAAATGCTTTTTTGCATTTTTAACCTTTTTTTTTTAATGTTGTTGTTGTTTGAGCATGAAAAATGTCTGCAAACTTATAAAACACAAAGTTATTCTCTATATCAGTGTCACTGTTTCTGAACTCCCCCATTGTACTCTTAGGTTTTCTTCCGGGAACGAACAAACATGTCATAAATTTCCTCATTTAAAGGGGTCATGACATGCATTTTTTCAAATTAAATTGGCACATGTGATTACGGCCCAAATCAGATCTCGTAAGTGTTTTTGCTGTTTTCATGCATCCATCACACTATACCAGATGTCTGCGAGAAAATCCAATTGGTTGACAGCGTAATCGTGACCCTCGTGAGCATTTGATGCACACTGATTATAAGAAAGCATAGCATGTGTGCTTCATAGACCATGCAATCCCAGGATACACTGCATCAAACACAAAAAGTGAGTGATCCAAGAAGGCAGATGGAAATTAATTGTATCAGGATTAAATAAGTATAAGTTCATCTTATTGTGAGTATCAAGCCATTAGCTTTGCATCAAGAACGATAACTACAAAGACAACTATATTAGCATCCACACCAACGCAAAATAATGCTGTTTATAAGAGCATGCAGCTGTTTTGTCGTGTGCAGCTTTAAATGCTCGAGCTCTTTAAAGCTGGATGGATTCTGATTGGCTGTAGATGTTTTTATCACCTGGAAAAAATCATTCCGAAAGTGATTCCAACAATATAGTTCCACGGTGCCGTTATAGTTGTGTTGTGGACTCTGCTATTCTTTTACATTTAGAGTGATTTTTAAAACTATACCCAGGGTTCGTACGGTACAGACACTGTAAAAATAAAGTCCAGGGCTTTCAAGGACTTTTCCAGCACTACTTTTTTGGTTTTCCAGGACTATAATCAGAGATGGAACTTATCAAACAATATCTTTAATATTTTTTTAAGGATTTTTAAAACTCAAATAACAGATGTAAGGTATCCAAAATACCAAAAACTTACGACGTATTTAATAATATATTAAATACAAAGTTTATAATGGCTATTATTGTTCAATAAATAATATTTTATATTATAATGTTGGCGTACTTCGTATGGGAAAAGGTCTGATGGGGGTTTATCACATGGGCTGCAGTGTTCATTTTGGGTGAAAAGATTATATTTGTGTTTAAAAAAAATTCATTTGTATTGTATTTGAATAAGTCAAGCACTTTTCAAGTTCCTCTTCATAACTATGGCTGTTTTCCAGGGTTTTCCAATCTTGTCAATCTTACTAAAGTACTTGTCAAATTCAAGTACTTTAAAGGGATACTCCACTTTTTTTGGAAATAGGCTCATTTTACAACTCCCCCAGAGTTAAACTGTTGAGTTTTACCGTTTTTGAATCCATTCAGCCGATCTCCGGTTCTGGCGGTACCACTTTTAGCATAGCTTAGCATACATCATTGAAGTGGACAAGACCATTAGCATTTCTAAAAAAAAAAAAGACCAAAGAGTTTCGATATTTTTCCTATTTAAAACTTGACTCTTCTGTAGTTACATCGTGCACTAAGACCGACGGAAAATGTAAAGTTGCGATTTTCTAGGCTGATATGGCTAGGAACTATACTCTCATTCCTGCGTAATAATCAAGAAACTTCACTGCCGTACCATGAGTGCAGCAGGCGTAATGATATGACGCAGCGCCTGAAAATAGTTCCGTTGTGTTGACGGAAGGTGGCCTATTTTCAGGCGCTGCGTCATATCATTACGCCTGCTGCACTCATGGTACGGCAGTGAAGTTTCTTGATTATTACGCAGGAATGAGAGTATAGTTCCTAGCCATATCAGCCTAGAAAATCGCAACTTTACATTTTCCGTCGGTCTTAGTGCACGATGTAACTACAGAAGAGTCAAGTTTTAAATAGGAAAAATATCGAAACTCTTTGGTCTTTTTTTTTTTTAGAAATGCTAATGGTCTTGTCCACTTCAATGATGTATGCTAAGCTATGCTAAAAGTGGTACCGCCAGAACCGGAGATCGGCTGAATGGATTCAAAAACGGTAAAACTCAACAGTTTAACTCTGGGGGAGTTGTAAAATGAGCCTATTTCCAAAAAAAGTGGAGTATCCCTTTAAGCCCCGTACACACCGGAACGAATATCGGCGCGCGTTATTCGTCAGCGTTTTTCAACGCGTTTTTTGTGTTCACGCCCAAGTGATTTTCGCTGACGATGAGCCGAGTGAACATGCAAATTCAAGCCCCGTTCACACTACACGCGACCAAGCGACGCGATACCATTCATTTCAATGGGGAGCTGGCGATTTCCGGCGACACGCGCGACCATTGGCGACCGGATGGGGCGTGTCTGGCGACGCAACAAAGTTGAGATCTGTTTAACTTTATGCAAATGAGGAGCGACTTTCGGGAGCGACAACCAATAGGAGCGGAGCGCGTATGATCCTTCTCCACATCATTGGATGTCATTCATAAAGGCAACCAGTAGTGGGAACTCCCACTAGCGACCTCATCGCCAGCCACTGGCGACATGCAGCGACAAAGTCGCTTGTAGTGTGAACGGGGCTTCAATCCCTGTCATTAGATGGCGCTTAATGTAAAACAGAAATAGTCCTATTTTGTACCGTAGTCGCTGTCGCGTTTGTCATATAGTTCTTTATGTTCTGACACCAACGAGACCAGCAGCCCTACATTCATCTTGCCTCGTATTTTCCTTGTCTTATTTCTTCTGGCATAGATATCCATAATAAAGGCCATATTTGGCCAGCAGCGCGGACGAGACATCTAGCCTTTATTATGGATATCTATGGTGTAGACGCTACTTGGCTCAGCAAGACCGTTTTGTGTTTGAGCGCCCCCAGGTTGTGTTTTACTGTAACTTCAGAAGCTCCAGACACGTGAGCAAAAGCGCCAATCTCATTGGTCGGATAGTTTTTGACGCGGCGCGTCAAACCAAAAAAACGAACCCGAGGTGTTTTTAAAAAAAATGACACTTTTACACGTGGCGTTTTCCGCGTCGGTGTGCACACTCACATTGGCACCCTTTGTTTAGTCACGAGGCGTTAAACGTCGGCGAATATCGCGCGCGAAATTCATCCCGGTGTGAACAGCCATCTTGTACGAACCCTGGTTTTATTCATATTTTTATATTGCTATTACTATACTAGTTATATCATATTTTTATTACATTATATACAAGTTTCAATAACAATTTTTTATTTTTTAAATGTCAACAGTTTTTTATTTTTGTTTCAGTTATTTTAGTACATCAATTGAATGAACATGAGAATTTTTGCCTTTGCAACTTTCTGAAATAAAAGTTTGTTTTTTATATTTTATGTAATAAATTTTTACCTTATCATTATTGTTATAGTTAACGACCTTGGTGTGAACGGGCCTTTGTGTAGAAAATTAATGGGACTCAACTCCTAAATGTGTAAAAGTAAAAAATGATGGCATACTTGACTTTGGAGAAGACTATATCCACGTCTGTGAGTGTGATGCTCTTGCCATCGATGACGCCGCAGTCTTTACACAGTTTGGACCAGTTCTTGCCGTTCAATTCTTTCCCGGTGGCTCGCGTGTCTCCGTGAATGGCGAAGCGTCGGAATGACTCCTCCAGCGCAGTGATCTCCACAGGCGTTTTGCAGCCCGCTCCTCCATCGCTCGTGCCGTTGGATGCCGAGGACAGGCGTTTGGCTGCTTGTTCTTTCGAGTGCTCACTGTGCGGCCTCATGGGCGAACTGTTGGGTACAGGATGTTTGGCGGTCTGAACTTTAAACTCCTCCATGTTGCTGGTAAAGAACGTGAATTTTAATGGTTAATATTACTGGTAATATTATTGCAATTTAAAATGTGTTTGTGCATTTTTTTCATAATCAATGGCACTTGCTTTGATAGGTTGTATCTAATGCAAAGACATTTAGACATGAATAAGTGTCTAAATACTTTTTATGTCTATATACCGTAGTGTATATCCATGTCACACTGTTCATGTTATGACAACTTTCATGCTGATCATGGTTATGCTGATCAAGCTACATCAATAACCAGTTGAGCCAGCTGGTCCACAAACAGTTCAGCATTACTTATCCAAAATCAGTTCAGGGCAGGCCATCTTGTTTAATCTTCAGCTGAGATTTCAGGAACATTAGATGATATTAATAATTAATGTCTGAAATGCCACTTGTTGTTTTTTATTTGTTATTTAATTTATTTATTATTCATTTAATTAATTTACTTACACTGTACACATGAAATGTATTCAAATTCACATCATTTATCAAATATATTATATAAACTTTAAAGTCCCCCTGTAGTCAATAATTGTATGCCTTAAAAGGCTATTTATTTTGTGGCCAATTCAATTTACGTTTGCACTCATTTCCAGCATACTATCTTAGATATACTCAAGAGCATGTATTTCCATACAACCAGTGAAATACATACTTTTATTGTGTAGAAGTCTGACATAGCCTAGCATCTCTAGTCTGACCTTTGCCCTCTGCTGCCCCTCCAGCGCTCGGATTCCACGTCAGTGTCGCTCACTTTGACTCGCTCCTCTTGCTTCTTGATGCAGCTGAAAAGACAATAGTAGTTTTGCATTGAACATGAATATTAACTGGTTAAAAGCAAAGAGCAAAGCAAAATAGGAATAATAATAATAATAAATATAGCTGCAAGTAGCAACTAACAGGGTTCAAGTGTTTTAAGACCTTTATGCCATCTATGCTGTTCCAGGCGACCCCTTTGTATAACACCATTTTCAGGTTTCACATTAATCATAATGTGGCACAATTGTCAAAACTGATACCAAAGGATGAAGTGATAAACTTTGACAAAACGTGATTGTAATTGTTATAATAGTGATTTTATAATGTCTAAAAATGAACACAAAAGCAAAACCTGTGAAAAGAACTATAATAGTGAGTAGAATGACAAAATTAACATTATAACCAGTAGATGGCAGCAGAGGACCACCAAGTGGTTAATCGTTGCAGATTTTTTTGTGACCAGAGAATGAGCTCATGATAACTATAACAAGTTTGGTGAAAATATCTCATAGCGTTAAAGAGTAATAGCCATTTTAGTGAAAGTGGCCCTGCCTACTTTGGACGTTTTGGCGTCCCCGTCATGAGCGTGAATCACCAATCGAAATTCTTTAGACAACTTTTTGCCATGGGGGTCTCTAGATGATGCATGTCAAGTTACGAGTGAATCAGACAAACGCCCTATGAAGAGTTCGAAAAATGGTGTAAATGAAATTGGAGATTTACGTTTTGTCTCGAGCCGAGGATTTCAATGGAAAATAGAGTGTTTTTGATCGCTGTAGCGCCCCCTATTGGTCGATTTGGCTGAGTCCTTGTATCTGAGTAGTGAGTAAGACTACTAACATCTGACCAAGTTTCAAGTCTCTAGGCCCAAAGTTTGGGCTGCACGATCAGTTTTATGGCTTCACGCTTGAAACCCTATTAGTTTGACTGTTTTGAACTCAAGTGTTTTATAATATGAAGCTAATTTTGATTTATTCATTTGCTCTGATTCATCTGATCCTTTGGTTTGAGTCCATCAAGTTCCAAATAGAAAGAGCAAATAAATCAAATAAAAAGGTTTGAATTTTTTGATTATCCTCTGGATTGCTAATAATAGGCATTACCTCATGTTTATATAATTTATAAAAAAAACATTTTGGTTTCCAACAAAAATAACTACATCATGATACAGTATCATTAATGTGATAGAAAACGACTACAGTATCATATAATATTACACTTTAAACACCACTAGATCACAGTAGTTATTCTATAGAGCACAGTTTGCTTCAGGTCAAACATTACAAGGGTGAGAAAAAGTGTTTCCTTCATGATGTAATCGTCCAGAATTAAACACAAACCCTTCGATGTGTTCTCATGGGCCGATGTTTACCATTACTCACTCACGCTGTTTTGATCACATTTACTTTAAACTTTCAAAGAGCAAGATTTAAGATATCAAAATACAATAAAAATGTATTTTTTAAAATTTCTTAAATTTAAATGACTTTATTTACTTTCTTCCTATGTGTGATTTCAAACCAAACACAAACCAAAATATGAGATCATTTATAACATTGGGATCAAGAACTCAAGAAAAAAGTTTGGTTTGCATTTGATTTGAATCATGTACTAAGAAAGTAAATGATTGAATCAGTGCAGAAACATCTTTACAATATAAAACACTTGAGTTCAAAGCAAAAGACTCAAAACCACAATTGCCCAAAAAAACCAATACCAACTGTGATTGGTCGCTTTGCACGTCTCTTCCTGTCTAAGTGGGCGGTACTTGGTCAGAATAACCTGCAATTTGCTGATGTCCATGTGAAGTCTGACTACACAAGACTAATCTCACATGATTTTGCATGTACCAGGTACCAACATTAAACAGCATTTCTAATAGCTAAGGTTGTAAAAATGAACACAAAGTAATTTTTTCTCACGGATGCTGAATGCTCACCTCCCAGAAGCTCCCATAGTGCAATGTCATGACACCTCTACAAAGCCAAAGCAGCTCTTTCTCTTCTTTTCTATGTTTTAAACCACTAAGTCAATCTTTATACAACACTATCTGGACCGGGGCTAGCAGTATCTTGTCCCAAACCAGACAGAGAGGTTACGTCACACGGCCGTAACACTGGACACATGGGCTACAGTAGATGAATCTGTCTTTATGGTCGGACAGAAGAGCTCTGTAGGGCCAAAGTGAACTCCTCGAGTACAGTCAATGTACAAGAGGACCCTCAAAATCCACTTGAAGATGTCCCTATTCAAGAGCGTTGTGTTTTACTTCTCTTTCAACAAAGAAACAAACCTTTATGAATCACTCTCAATCATGTCATTCAGCTCTATGGGCCCATTGTGCAGTCTAGTGTACTACACACACACACACGGTCGCGTCAGTGACATCGCCACTATCGCTGGCATTAGCCGGCCAGAGTGACAATAAAAGATAACATTCTTATCTTTCTTGCTAAAAAAGAGTGACCGAGATAGAAATATCAAAACTAGGAAGAACTTGGGAGTTCAGTTGTTTACGGGTGGTGTTACTGCACTGATTTCAGATCGATTCATTCATTTGACATTGAATATAATCTGATATTGTGCTTTTTTGTAACCATCAAGTTACAAATAAAGAGAGGAAATAATCAAATTGCATTCGTTAAGTATTTAAATCACTGGATTATCAAAATAACTTATATATTTATGAAATAATTCCAATATAGGATATATAATTACAATCAAATTGCATGAAGCAATATTATATATATCTAACATATATACAGTATATATCAATTATGTACAATCATTTCTTTTTATAATCCAGTGATTTTTTATAATGTAATTGTATTAGCATATTATAGATTGTATAGTTATAGATTATGTGTGTGTGTATATAATATATATATATATATATATATATATAATATATTAAAATCTTGTGATATATATACATATATAATATATTAAAATCTTGTGATATATATATATATATATATATATATATATATTATACACATATATATTAAAATATTGTGATATATATATATATATATATATATATTATATAAAAATATTGTGATATATATATATATATATATATATAAGTTATAACACAATTACTGTGATAAAAAATTATGTTAAAAAGAGTCAGTCAAGTCCAATACTATTGTCAATTTGTCAAGAGTTCCTTTAAATACTCACATGAACACACCCAGTTAATAAAATGTCTGCAATCATTAACATAATAAAACTGATACTGCTAATGCTAATGATTGAACTGATTATAAGAGATCTCTTAGGTCATCATATTTATTGTATATGATGTATGGAACCATAACTATGCAATTTTGAGTGCAATTTGAATGCTTTTATAACACAGCAATCGAGACAGACATCTGCTGCTGTCTAATGCTGGAGGTAATTCTGTGAACTTCAGAAAAGAACAGAGTATGATGGAGGCGTCAGAGAGGGAGAAATGCTTTTTTGCATGCGCACACACATGCAGGCCTCAAGAGAATCTGTGATTGGTGGAGCGTATGATGATATGCATTCGCCTTCTGGTCATGCATTGCACAGATGAGAGCTCAGACAATAAACTGACCTATTTTAAACAAAACAAACTATTTATATCAGCAAAAAATGAACATGTAATTCAATAAATGTCAGCAACATAAAAAGACTGACAAGAATGGACTTCACAGAAACAGGATATGATGTAATGCATAAACAGGAAGAGGACACGGATAAGCACAGGTAAATCTGTTCTGAACCTATCAGTAGTTAACACTGCCAAACTGGTATCAGTTGGGATGGATTCCACTGAAAAATAATGCAATAACAAACATGTCTTGACTGTTTAATGTCTAGAGAGAATGCATCAACCAAAGTTGCTTTGGATAAAAACGTCTGCCAAATGCATAAATGTAAATGTAGAAAATCTAGAGCAGACAAACACGTCTCCATGATGTCTGAGTGTGGCTTCACAAACGTTCAGTGATGGCCCCAGATCACCCTGCTGCCACTGATCGGGTCAACGACATCTTTCATTACATCACCCGCCGCCCGTTCCTCATTTATATAGACATGTCTTTCTCGTTGCATGTCCCTACACTGAATGCTATGTGTCTCCAGCATGGCAATTTCTACGTACACTGACTCTGCAACAATGCACTAATGATGCAGACTATGACATGTCAGGTGTACAGTCTACGCCATGTTTTAAGGCTTCGACTTTTAACGTCTGTTTTAGATGTTGGGGTAATAGTTGGCGTCAAAAGTCAGTGTTTTTAACAACATAACCTAGAACTGAAAAATCTGGGCCAAACTCAGCGAATGGCTGCGTCCTCTGGTCAGGCGTAGCTAATCTATGAACATATGGACAAAACAACTGTGATGGGAGATCAAATGAAAAACCTCAAGCCTTTTTCCTTATCTGAAACGCACAATCCTCAAATAAACGAATTTTAAAAATTTACTCAGATATGTCAATACAGAAACATACTTTATATGACATATGGATGGATGGATAGACAGACAGACAGATAGATATGGATGGACGGATAGATAGATAGATAGATAGATAGATAGATAGATAGATAGATAGATAGATAGATAGATAGATAGATAGATAGATAGATAGATAGATAGATGATGGATGGATGGAATGAAAGTCAGAACCATAGACAAAACGACAGACAGACAGGCAGATAGATAGATAGATAGATAGATAGATAGATAGATAGATAGATAGATAGATAGATAGATAGATAGATAGATAGATAGATAATGGTGGATGAAATTATTTAGTCAGAACCATAGACAGAATGATAGACAGAACGAGCGAACTATAGACAGACAGACATAATTACGTTCTTCATCTCGTTTGATTGTACACTTTTAATCGACACTCATACACTCCTGGCGTTTATGTAACAGCTCTATACATTTCCAGCATCACACAAGCGTTATATAAACTCACCATGAGCATCATGATGAAACACGTGATCATTGTTATTGTCATGAACACTGTGCATCTCATGCATGTAACTGCAGCTCTGCATCCTTACATGCAACAATACTGACGAATACAAAACAAAACCAGCACAGAATTGCGCAACAAAACAAAAACGAAACCAAATCGAATGGACTTCCGTGACAACGATCAAAAATGAAGCACAAAATGTTCTCGGGTTGTTTTTGAGGTGAAACTATGAAAACATAAACAAGCTCGAGATCAATTGCGTTTCAAATGCGTTTAAATCGGATGGTATGAGAGAAACGCGCTGCTATAATGGTCAAAACACAGTCTTACCTGAATGATGTCTCCGTCGTTTTCTTATTTCTGTTAGTGTCTAGCAGAACATGTTTACGTGAGACATCCGCGAGATTGAGAGACGCGACGCGACGCTTGCTGTCATCCGCGCGTAGTGTGTGCGCCGCGCTGGAGAGCGCGCTCGAGGACCAGCAGGCGCCGCGCGGTGATTGGCTCGCGCGCTGTCACCTGAATCTGAATATGCCCATGGATATGAGTGACTAAACATGAGACAAATGACTTAATTAATGAATTACACACTTTTTCCATGAACTTATCTACATTTAAATACATCAAGAAAAATGTAACATTATTTTGTTTTATTATTATTATTATTTTACATATTTTAGCATGCAAGTATTGGCGTGTCTCCAACTGCTTATATTATGATTCTCAGTTGAGGTGTCAACTCTGTTACCACTAAGAACACCATAATATTACCATCTAAAAAGCGATTAATTATTCATAAAGTCAGTAGAATGGTATGGAAGGTTCACATTCTTGCACGCAAATCCAAATTGACACTAAACATAAACAAATAAATCAAAATGAAGGAAAAGGAAAGAACAGAATGTCTTCAGTAGCATGGACAATGTTTTCCCCATAGAGAGTAGCTGTTTCCGCTGAATGCAATCAAGATGAAGCGTGTTATGCAGATGAAATATGCCGGAATGCAGGAAAGATGACTAAATAAACTGCATATCTATCAGTACAGTAGTGTGTCTGTTTCCTGCAGAAACGCTTTTCTACACTGTGAGATAGAGAATAAAGCATAAAATCCATGAAATGTTACACAACTAGTGAAGGGTTCTTCTAGACCAGCATTACATAATAGTCCGTCTGAATAAGATAAGGGAGACTGGGGCTAGTTGTCACAGTCTTGTTGCTCCAGTAGCTAAATATTTCTTAGGAGGTTTATTTTTGAAAGTCTGAAATTTCAGGCACAAATACCTTTATTCCTGTGATCAAAGCTGAATTTTCAGCATCATTACTCCAGTCTTCAGTGTCACATGATCCTTCAGAAATCATTCTAATATGCTGATTGGCTGCTTAATTATTATTGGCACTCAATTATTAATAATCCTTATATTCCATAATTAATAAATATTTATGAATTCCAAAATTTTGATCAGGAGTTAGTGTATATCTATATATAGTTTGATATTCACACACACACACACATAATGAAAATAAAAATCAAAACACATTTTTTGTAAAGAAAAATTTATACATTTTAAACTTTTAAAACAGACTGACAAAGACATTTATAAAAAAAACTCACTGTTCATCCTTTCAGTTTGCAAATCTACTTTCAATGACATGATGTATTATTAAATCTTTTTTAGATGTGTAATATGACGACCGTCTACATGTTCTACATTTTTTTGCTTCTCTGTATGGATTGTTTAGGTGAGATACATGTGATTGATTTATTCTGTGATTTATAATTTATTATCTATTTATTTATTTTGTATTATGGAAATGCAGCACACACTGAGCCCAATACAAATTTCCCTAAGGGTGCAAATTAAGTATATTGTATTGTATTATCTCAATGTATGTTAGTATGGTTTTATTATGTTCATTAGTACCGTATATACACTCACTAGCCACTTTATTAGGTACACCTGTCCAACTGCTCGTTAACACTTAATTTCTAAGCCGCCAATCACATGGCGGCAACTCAGTGCATTTAGGCATGTAGACATGGTCAAGACAATCTCCTGCAGTTCAAACCGAGCATCAGTATGGGGAAGAAAGGTGATTTGAGTGACTTTGAACGTGGCATGATTGTTGGTGCCAGAAGGGCTGGTCTGAGTATTTCAGAAACTGCTAATCTACTGGGATTTTCACGCACAACCATCTCTAGGGTTTACAGAGAATGGTCCGAAAAAGAAAAAACATCCAGTGAGCGGCAGTTCTGTGGGCGGAAATGCCTTGTTGATGCCAGAGGTCAGAGGAGAATGGCCAGACTGGTTCGAGCTGATAGAAGGGCAACAGTGACTGAAATAACCACTCGTTACAACCGAGGTATGCAGCAAAGCATTTGTGAAGCCACAACACGCACAACCTTGAGGCGGATGGGCTACAACAGCAGAAGACTCCACCGGGTACCACTCATCTCCACTACAAATAGGAAAAAGAGGCTACAATTTGCAAGAGCTCACCAAAATTGAACAGTTGAAGACTGGAAAAATGTTGCCTGGTCTGATGAGTCTCGATTTCTGTTGAGACATTCAGATGTTAGAGTCAGAATTTGGCGTAAACAGAATGAGAACATGGAACCATCATGCCTTGTTACCACTGTGCAGGCTGGTGGTGGTGGTGTAATGGTGTGGGGGATGTTTTCCTGGCACACTTTAAGCCCCTTAGTGCCAATTGGGCATCGTTTAAATGCCACGGCCTACCTGAGCATTGTTTCTGACCATGTCCATCCCTTTATGGCCACCATGTACCCATCCTCTGATGGCTACTTCCACCATGTCACAAAGCCCTAATCATTTCAAATTGGTTTCTTGAACATGACAATGAGTTCACTGTACTAAAATGGCCTCCACAGTCACCAGATCTCAACCCAATAGAGCATCTTTGGGATGTGGTGGAACGGGAGATTCGCATCATGGATGTGCAGCCGACAAATCTGCGGCAACTGTGTGATGCCATCATGTCAATATGGACCAAACTCCCTGAGGAATGCTTCCAGCACCTTGTTGAATCTATGCCACGAAGAATTGAGGCAGTTCTGAAGGCAAAAGGGGGTCCAACCCGTTACTAGCATGGGGTACCTAATAAAGTGGCCGGTGAGTGTATAATGATATTTGCATTAGTTTGTAGGGCAGAATTTGCTTGAATTTCAGACCGTTTTAAGTAGATACCAACATACAAAGAGAAATAAGACGACTGAGTGATCTAGTCCTGAATTTCAGCCATTACATGAGAGAAATGAGGAAGACTGTCACTAATGACATCATCACCCAACAGCCCCATCTAGTGCTGCATCAAACACACGCCGTCTTGAGAAACATCTTTAGGCATTTATTTAAAATATAAAAAGAACAAATACAGTGGTGCATTAATTCATCTAATAGTTGTGTGATTTAATCCTCAATGAGTTATTACAATCAACATAAATCATAAAATAAAACCAGCTGTACAATGTAAAAAAAATATATATATTACAGAAATAGAACAACTTATATTTCATTGTACAATTTTACAAAGATTTCAGTAATTTGTTGCTGAGTACTGAATGTTTATGGTGTGAGCATGTAAACAAAAAAAAGATTGTGCTTCTCGTTGCTGGGAATCTTGCTACTACGTGGCTCAAACAAAATAGAATATCTTTCAAATATGCATTAATATATAATATTGGTAAATCCAGAGACTTGATCTTTCTCATTAGCGCTCGTAATATCAACACGACTTTATTTTTTTAGACTTGTGTGTGTCTTTACTGAAGTTGCATAAAGTCAGTCGGTCAGATCAGAACAGGCCAGATGTGTGTGTGCAATATGCATGAGACGATCAGTGTGTTTGATCTTCTGGCGCCTGCTCTCTGAAGCCTAAACACTGAGGATGCGTGTCAATCATCAGCTGCTGATGCACCGCCGCTGCATCCATGATGGAGCTTCCCAGCGGGTCTTGTACGATGGGCCGTCCCTCCACAGACTTCTCGTTCTCGTTGCTCCGCCCTGGAGCTTGAGGCTTCTCTATTCCGCTGAGGTTCCAGCCCACAGGAAGTGACATCAGAGGCTCACCTACCAGCAGGATACAGAAGGACAATCAGGTGCACCTTCAGTCAACACTTATCACTCGATAGCTTAAATCACCGCAGCTTTTTACCTGGAATCATTTGTGTTGGTGCGTCAGAGCTGTAGCCCGGGTGTCTCTCTCCACTGGCTTCCTCCATCTGTAATGACATCATGCTCCGATAATAACAAATATGGGGGTAAAATAGTCTATTTTTGGCACTGATTGTATTATATCAAACAATTTTCTCATTTAGTCTGCCATTTGAAAGGATTATTTATCGAGCTCTTCTCAATGCATCATGGGATTGCCTTCTCCAGAAAAAGATCAAATCAATGCAGTGTCATTATAGTATTAATCAATTCAGTTCATGATCATTTCTATAGCAGCTTTACAGAAAATGCATGTTTCAAATATTACAATCAATAACTTGATTTATAAATGATAATGAAACACTGCATTGAATGTATCTTATTCATAATTTTAATTAGCTTTTATTATCCAAATTTATATTTAATTTTAGTTTAGATTTTAGTAATTTTGTTGTCCTTTTGTCATTTTTGTAAGTTTTTTAAATATTTCCATTTAGTTTTTTTTATAAACTTTTAGTTAGTTGTCAAAGCAACATTCGTAATTTTTAAGTTTTTTAAATACATTTTTTTCATCTAATATTAATATTTTATTTCAGATTTATTTCAATTACCGATTGAATGATTTGGTGTTTTAGTTTAAGTTAACAATAACAACACTGATGCAATGCTAATATGATGCTGCATAATTTTCGCAACAGTCGTTGCATCTAAGATGCCTTAAAATCCTGTCTAGATAGACAGCTCACTAGGATTTGGAGTGGGTAGCTTGATTACCTCAGCACAGATGGGTTCTGGCAGTCGACTAGATGTTTGTCCTCTATCTTCCAGTTTGAAGGTACTAAGAAGAAAAAGTAGCAGAACATCTAAGAAGAAAAAAACGAACCACTAACTATTAGTTTAAGTGCGCACTTGAAGCTTACCAAGACTTGCTGGACAGCGGAGCTTCACAGTTCACAGGTGATTCCAGCAGCCCAAGACCCTAGGAGGAAGTGAAAAGTGCACAGCGTTTATGGTGGGACCTTCCTCTGATCTAAATCGAAGCATAAAACTAGTCTAAAGCTTCCCCTCTAATCCCATTGAGATGATACAGTTAAACATAATCAAATTCTCTCTCCTGAACTGAGAAAACATTGTTTGGTAATCCATGAAGTTGTATTTTGCATCAGTTTAAAGGGGACCCATTGTCAAAGTCTTGTTTTTGGGCTCTATAGATGTTCAATAAACACATTATTTTTCACATATTCTCCATTGTTGCAGCTCCTCTCTTCCCAGTCTGTCAGTAACGCTCTGTTTAGTTCCTGTCTCTATGAAGCCCGTCCTTCAGAAAAGCTCAATGTGCTCTGATTGGTCGGCTGGGCCAGTGTGTTGTGATTGGTCAACCACTTTGAGCGTGTTTGGGAAATGTCCCGCCCCTTACCATAACCACAAGTTTCAACACAATAGAGTGGTCAGGTGCAGGTATGACGTCACTTTGTGGGCCAATCGGCAGTTAGCATCACACTGGTTCCCTCGACAAAAACCCAATAGGATTTTTCCATAGGCTTTTGGATTTCTCGTAAAAAAACAAACTTTGTGATCAAAACACGTTTATGATACTTACACGCTTTGTCCATCAAGATATTTTTCACAGATGAACACATCTTTTATGAATTTTGAAGCCTAAATGCAGTCACCAGAAGTAGCCTATAAACAAACCACACCACCGTCCCACGACTTCAACGTCACCATCACTAAGCTTCCGACAACCCTTTCAGTTTTTATCTAAAAACATTATCCCAGAACGTTTGAGTTAGAGTAGTTTATAGGAGCACAATTATAAGCATAATGAGGCTTTAAAAGTGGACTGAGTTTACCTGTTCAGCGTGATGACGGTTAATCTCGACAGCCTCTGTAGTCCCATTTAGCCACTTGTTAGCAACTGCCTTTTTCAAGACACGTAACAGCTTCAAAAAAACACGAGTGGGGCAATACTGATGTATTTTATGTCGTAGAATAAAACGTGAAAGTGTCTTGAGCTTGTGTTCGCCACAGACCTTATTTCAGCCATTTAACCAAAATGGATGGTTTAACCACAAAGGAACCCGAAGTGCTAAAATGCTAACTCGCTTCCACATTTTGGCCTACAAAGTGATGTCATACCTGCACAACTCTATAGAGCCTAAGCCCCTCCCCTCCGCTTCCGGCTCATGGGACCTTATTTCGGAAAAAATATGTATGGTAGTCAATGGCGAGAGACAACTTATCTTTTTATTCCGTCTGAACTGTGCCCTAAATTACACATATGATGTTTGTCAATTTAAAAGATAATTATGAAAGTCAAGAAAGTCGCAGTTTGTCATAAAAGAAGAGTAACATTTAGTTTTATGTGAAAATCGCTCAATGAACTACATCTCCCGGGAAGCGAAACAACGAGCGAGATCCGTTCCTCGTGTGTGTGCAGTCTGGTACAAAACACTCAGGCATGACGGCGTAACGTTACGATTATAACGTAAGACTATAGATGAAATGACAGACGTTAGCTTCAGTAAAGTTAGCTTCATTCATTGAGAGAAAATGTGCGCCTTTTGGGTTTGTAGTCTTTGTAATTACGTATTTTCACAGTCTTATACCTCAACAGTTTTACATCAAATTGCGACTTTCTTGACTTTAAAATGTATCTTTTAAATTGACAAACATCATTTATGTAATTCAGGGCACAATTCAAACGAGATCAAAATATTTGTTGTCTCTCACCATTGACTACCATACAATATTTTTCCGAAATAAGGTCCCATGGTGGTCAACCGGAAGGGGAGGGACTTAGGCTCTCTATACTAACACAACTTAGTCAGGCCCCGCCCCTTTATTCTGCATATGCCTTGGGCGTGAATTATTTAAATGAGGAATATTGTGACGTGTTCGTTCCCGGAAGAAAACTCAAGACTACAATGGAGGCGTTTCAGGGAGTTCAGAAACACTGACACTGATATAGAGAATAACTCCCGCTGGAGGGACTTTTTCATGATCAAACAGCAATATAAATAAAATTAAAAATTGTATCCCTATGCAAAGGAATTATTTAGTATTGTGTTGTATTTTTATTTTGCGTGTGTTGGTACCAGTGCGGTGGTTCCGTTAGATGGCAGCGCCGGAGGAACCTGCTCTTTCTCTTTGGGGTTCGGTGACGGTGACTGACGCTTCCTAATGATGTACTCATATGTGCTGATTCCCTGAAACACTGTGACAAGATACACAATGAATAAAAGCTGCTATCTACCTTTAAAAGTCAATAACGCTTGGATCAACACTTACACAAGTAAATATGGAAGCAGAGTAAGTGGCAGAGCAATAAGAGAGCAGCCAGAGCCAGCAGGATGGTAACGAACGCCAACGCCAGCAGACTAATAGAGCTGGCCTCTAAAGGTGCCGCCGGAAGGAAAACCAGCCACGTTCCATTCCCTTTCACTGCTAGGAAATTAAAAAATAGAAATTAAAACTAGTAAATGAGACGTTACGCCACCGTTCAAAAGTTTGGGGTCAGTACGATCTTTTTAATGTTTTTGAAAGAAGTCTCTTATGCTCAACAAGGCTGCATTTGTTTGACTAAAAGTAACAGTAATACTGTGAAATATTATTGCAATTTAAAATAACAGTTTTCTATGTGAATATATTTAAAAATGTAATGTATTTCTGTGATCAAAGCTGAATTTTCAGCATCATTACTCCAGTCAGTGTTGATCCACATGATTCTTTAGAAATCATTATAATATGCTGATTTGCTGCTGATTTTTGATTATTATCAATGTTAAAAACAATTGTGCTGCTTAAAGTTTTGTGCGGAAACCGTGATTTTTTTCTTCTTCAAGATTCTGATGAATAGAAAGTTCAAAAGCAGCATTTATTTGAAATATAATTTTTTTTGTAACATAAATGTCTTTACAGTCACTTTTAATCAATTTAATGAATAAAAGTATTGATTAAAAAAAAAAAAAAAGATCCAAAACTTTTAAACAGTCCTGTACGTCTACAAATTCATTCCAAAAATCACCCAAAAATGAAAATGATGTCATTAATGACTCACCCTCATGTCGGTCCAAGCCCGTAAGACCTCCGTTCAATTTCGGAACACAGTTTAAGATATTTTAGATTTAGTCCGAGAGCTTTCTGTCCCTCCATTGAAAATGTATGTCCGGTACACTGTCCTTGTCCAGAAAGGAAATAAAGACATCATCAAAGTAGTCCATGTGACATCAGTGGGTTAGTTAGAATGTTTTGAAGCATCGAAAATACATTTTGGTCCAAAAATAACAAAAACTACGACTTTATTCAGCATTGTATTGTCTTCCGGTTCTGTTGTGGATCCGCGTTCAGTGCCGCCGCTGACGTGTGTCTGGTGTGTGTGTGTGTGTGTGTGTGTATTCTGGTTCTGTTGTGGATCCGCGTTCAGTGACGCCGCTGACGTAAGACGCTGCTGACGTGTGTCTGGTGTGTGTGTGTGTGTGTGTGTGTATTCGGGTTCTGTTGTGGATCCGCGTTCAGTGCCACTGCTGACGTGTGTCTGGTGTGTGTGTGTGTCTGGTGCGCCCGAGCTTCGTTTACAGTCTGAGGGAGACGCACACTGGAAACAAAACAATCTTCGCAAACATGTCTAAGGATTTCCACACAGAGGAAGACTTGCATTTTTTTGCCCAGCCATATTTATTTGAACCCGAATACACGGGCGCACCAGACACACGTCAGCAGCGTCTTACGTCAACGGCGGCACTGAACGCGGATCCACAACAGAACCGGAAGACAATACAATGCTGAATAAAGTCCTAGTTTTGTTATTTTTGGACCAAAATGTATTTTCGATGCTTCAAAACACTCTAACTAACCCACTGATGTCACATGGACTACTTTGATGATGTCTTTATTTCCTTTCTGGACAAGGACAGTATACCGTACATACATTTTCAATGGAGGGACAGAAAGCTCTCGGACTAAATCTAAAATATCTTAAACTGTGTTCCGAAATTGAACGGAGGGCTTACGGGCTTGGACCGACATGAGGGAGAGTCATTAATGACATAATTTTCATTTTTGGGTGAACTAACTCTTTAAAGTTAAATTTTTTTATTTTATTTATCAACTAGTTGGTTGACTAGTCAACCTGTCAAGTGTACCGATCCTTCCCTAGAAGCGATCCTTCCCTAGAAGCAACCATTAACTATTCTTTAAACTAAGGAAAATAAGGGAAAATCACATGATGACCCATGGAGACGAACAACAGGAAATGAGTCCAGAGACACGGACTTGTCTTACTCTGAAACTGCGGCGCAGTGCGTAGGACAGCAGGATTCACATAGTGCTCAATGAAAACAAACAAGACGACAAGAATGAGGAGGATCATTCCAGTAACAGCAGAGGAGATGGTTATGAAAAAGAACCTGGGAAAAAAACAATGGTTCCTATGAATGTTCATCTATTGTGAAATGTCTTCAAAGCATATAAATATGCAAATGCTTGTTCTCCATTTGTGCTATCAAATTACACTTCTGCTCACCAGTAGTTCCTTCCACCGACACAATTGTTCAGCCATTTGCAGTGATGGTCAAAGTCTGCGATGCATTTGTTGCAAGTACTGCAGTGTTTGGCTTTAGGTCCCCTGCAGAATGAGACGTGATTATTCCCTAAAGCAAACGGTTAGGATGTTTAGACATATCTATATCAGGACCGTGTGCCATTCAGAAATGAACTGAGAATTAAAAATTCAAATCCTAAATTTGAATTGAGGTGAAAACAGGATGATAAACTGCATTTTAAAACAAACAAAAATTAAAATGGAATGCTGCTATTGTAAACTAAAACTATGAAAAATATGTATTTTGTTAATTGAAATAAAGCTCAAATAAAATATAAATGTTAGATGAAAATTTTTACCTTAAATGTTAAAAAAAGCTAATTATTACTACACTAACTAGGCTCCTAATAAATTGGAAATGCTGCCTTTGCAAAAACACTTAAAGAAGTTTGTACTAAAATTACAAAAACTTAAATAAAATCAATTAAAGCTAAATAGAAATATAAAAAACAAAAACTAATAAACGTGAAAGGAGCACATAACAAAATTACTAAAACTTAAACTAAAATGAAAATCTAAAATCTAAATAAATACTACAATAGTATATACAAATTCTGATACTGCAGTAAGTGTAGTTTATTTATATTATATATTACATTATATTACTAGTGCTGTCAAATCGATTAAATGCATCTAACATAAAAAATGTTGTTAACATAATGTGTATATATATATATATATATATACACTCACCGGCCACTTTATTAGGTACCCCATGCTAGTAACGGGTTGGACCCCCTTTTGCCTTCAGAACTGCCTCAATTCTTCGTGGCATAGATTCAACAAGGTGCTGGAAGCATTCCTCAGGGAGTTTGGTCCATATTGACATGATGGCATCACACAGTTGCCGCAGATTTGTCGGCTGCACATCCATGATGCGAATCTCCCGTTCCACCACATCCCAAAGATGCTCTATTGGATTGAGATCTGGTGACTGTGGAGGCCATTTTAGTACAGTGAACTCATTGTCATGTTCAAGAAAACCAATTTGAAATGATTCGAGCTTTGTGCCATGGTGCATTTTCTGCTGGAAGTAGCCATCAGAGGATGGGTACATGGTGGCCATAAAGGGATGGACATGGTCAGAAACAATGCTCAGGTAGGCCGTGGCATTTAAACGATGCCCAATTGGCACTAAGGGGCCTAAAGTGTGCCAAGAAAACATCCCCCACACCATTACACCACCACCACCAGCCTGCTCAGTGGTAACAAGGCATGATGGATCCATGTTCTCATTCTGTTTACGCCAAATTCTGACTCTACCATCTGAATGTCTCAACAGAAATCGAGACTCATCAGACCAGGCAACATTTTTCCAGTCTTCAACTGTCCAATTTTGGTGAGCTCTTGCAAATTGTAGCCTCTTTTTCCTATTTGTAGTGGAGATGAGTGGTACCCGGTGGGGTCTTCTGCTGTTGTAGCCCATCTGCCTCAAAGTTCGACGTACTGTGCGTTCAGAGATGCTCTTCTGCCCACCTTGGTTGTAACGGGTGGTTATTTGAGTCACTGTTGCCCTTCTATCAGCTCGAACCAGTCTGGCCATTCTCCTCTGACCTCTGGCATCAACAAGGCATTTCCGCCCACAGAACTGCTGCTCACTGGATGTTTTTTCTTTTTCGGACCATTCTCTGTAAACCCTAGAGATGGTTGTGCGTGAAAATCCCAGTAGATTAGCAGTTTCTGAAATACTCAGACCAGCCCTTCTGGCACCAACAATCATGCCACGTTCAAAGTCACTCAAATCACCTTTCTTCCCCATACTGATGCTCGGTTTGAACTGCAGGAGATTGTCTTGACCATGTCTACATGCCTAAATGCACTGAGTTGCCGCCATGTGATTGGCTGCTTAGAAATTAAGTGTTAACGAGCAGTTGGACAGGTGTACCTAATAAAGTGGCCGGTGAGTGTATATATATATATATCTGTGTGTATATACTGTTTACACACACACATATAAAAATGTAAATGTTAATGTAGTGGAAATCTCACTAACCAATACATAAAATTCCTCTTCCTGTCTTTAAATTCCCACTCATGAATTAAAAGGTGAATTCTACATTTCAAAATTTTGCCCAACTCTAAATATTGTTATTAGCAAATATTCCTTTTAAAACGTCTTGTTTCTGCTAATGTACATACACATCCACCTCACAGAGGGTGCAGTGCAGATTGTCAATCACATGTTGATGTTTGCTGTTGTCAAACACTGGCATGGGGCTGGAATAATCCTTCCTCCTACGAACGCTCAGATCCGCAGGGTCAATTGTTACGGCCGCCACGTGAGTGACCAAATGCAGAACAAACGCAGTGCCAATCATCTAGATAGGAAGTGTGAAGGTTTAACAACAATACAAACACATGCACACATAGATTTAGTTTCAGAGAGGGCTATGGGTTCATTTAACTCACTGTCTCACTGTAACTCACTGGATGGCTTGATTTGTGTGAGAGCTGAGAGCCTGTCTGACTACATCCTCCAATTATCTGCATAAACACACACTGCTGACATCAGCCTGTAATTGAGCTCATGCTGCGCAACAGAACATCTGCCCTCAGAGATGCTTGTGTGCCACAGCGTTCCCTACACAATTCTGCTATTCAGTTTGTTCGTTAGACTGATTCAAATGATTAACTCAGGAGTTTGTGAGTCTTTTTGAATGATGCTTTTAAAAATGGCTCATAAGAGTCAATTGTTCATGAACTGGACAAACTGGTCATGTTGTATGTTGGAGTTTGATTACAATGCGACAGAAAGATGCGTTGTTTAGGTAATGCTTTACAATAAGGTCCCATTAGTTAAAGGGTTAGTTGACCCAAAAATGAAAATTATCATTCATAGGTCATAGGGTCAGAGGTCACTCTTCAGCCGGAACTATGGACATTTTTCTCACAAAAACGCATGACTTTGCTTCAGAAGGATGTCGTATGGATTACATTTATGATAGATGGATGCACTTTTTTGGGCTTCGAAATCTCAGGTATCATTCACTCCCATTAACGCTTGTGTTTGGCTCATGAAGAAAGTCATATACACCTAGGATGGCTTGAAGCTAGTAAGTAAATTATGGGATTATTTTTGGGTAAACTAACATTTAAGGTTAGTTAATGCATAAACTAAAATTATCAATACATTTGTTACAGTGTTTATTAATCTTTGTAAGTTAATAAAAATACAGCTGTTCATTGTTAGCTGTTCATTTGTCAGCTCAGGTCCATTAAGTTATATTAACAGATACAACTTTTGATTTTAACAACGTATAAGTCAATGTTGAAATTAACACGAACTAAGATTAATAAATGCTTAAGTTCATTTTAAGTTCATGTTAACTAACGTAGTTCACTAATGTTAACAAATTAAACCTTTTTGTAAAGTGTTACTGTTTATTAATTATCGTTGTGTATTCAATTCAGACTGCAAGCTCTTTTTGCATCTTGTTTGCCCAAACCAAGTGTTCAGGAAATGCTAATTATATTGGCAATGCAATGTGCTGGAAAAATGACACATTTTTCTGCTTAGTATTTGGATTTTTATGGCAGAAATGAATGTTAATATTGGCACTGTAAAAAAAACTTAACTTAATTTTAGTTGAATCTTGTATAAATTGAAAAAATTAAGTAATGTTGCCATGACTTATTGATCATATCATTTTTTATAGTGTACAAGTGTATTTTTTTGTGATCAAAATCACTACCATGAAACCTTTCTATTTTCTTTTTTTATTTGTAAAGGATACGCCGTATGCTGCAAAGCTCCATGGTGCTGGTAGAAGAGGAACGTAAATCCCGAAACCCACGATGGCCATGAAGCTGTACATCAGCCAGGCTATCAGCTGGAAACTGTGCAGAGGCGGCGACCATCCGTTGACCCTGGAGTGCATCGGCAGTCCCACCAATTCAATTCTGCTTCCTCCATTTTGGGGTGCCGTCCGTCTACGGTGACGCCCAAAGCAGTTCAGCTGCAAAAGACAGAAACACTAAATATGAACACAGCTTGCGAATATGGGAATAATATGAAAAAACAGAACTGTTCTATAATGTATGCATGAAAGGCTAATAAAGCACTGTGCTTCGAGAACAGTCTCTTCAACCAGCATGAACAATGAAACATTTTAAAAAGACTCTGCCTGACATCATTATATTGGCTTGACAAAGCTGTTACTGTACAGGATTGACCTTGAGTTACAGTTCTTTTTTCTCTAAAACCCAACCTGAGACCAAAATGTCTAAATGCAACTCATAGAGCCTTCTGCCTGTTCTATCTATCTATCTATCTATCTATCTATCTATCTATCTATCTATCTATCTATCTATCTATCTATCTATCTATCTATCTATCATAACAACCACATTTACCCAAATACCCAGGTTTTTCAAAATCTTCAGATTTTCCTTTTCCAGTTCTCGCTTCAATCTTCAACAATTCTTTTTTTTACCACAGCTAAATAATTTAGACAAACCAGAAAACACATGTCCTACACATCAGTGTTATTGCTAACTTTCACCTTCAAATGCACAAGTTAGCAATGACAAGGAGTCCTGCTGTGCTTTTCCTGTTGAACATGAACAGAAATATTGTGTTGCCTAGCAAATGTCATCATAAAGGCAATGCGTGTTTGAAAACGGTGTAATAATGAGTAACTTCCACAAAACCACTTCATCAAGGAACTCTTGTATTAAGAATAACAATGTAAAACATTAACTTTTCAAACAGAATGAATGTTGTTTCTTTATTTAACTTTTTGATGACACTACAGTGGCGAATAATTCATATTAAATGATTTTAACATCTTAACCATAACAAGCGATAGGCTACATTTCCATATGTTTCAAAGCCTACTTACATTCGTCATTGAACAGCTTCCAGCAGTTTTCTCGGCTGATGTTGATCATTTGGATCTCTTGGATACAGTTTGCTGATCCATTGATTTCTTAATGATCTTCTTCACAGTCCACTGTACAGCAGAAGAGTCCTTTTCAAAGGTACTACTATCCGGTCTGAAAACGTTTTATTCCTATATTTAACCAATCAAATCTTTATAATGTCATTATTCGTCAAGAAAAAGGATTTAAAAAAATATTCTCACGCGTGAGGCGGTGATCATCTCATCTGACTTCGACAAACACACCACGGCGAAAGCTTAACTATTGAATATTAATTGCGTCACGCTTAGTAGCCAACCAATGTCGAGCGGCACACGCTGACGTTTCAACAGCTCATGAATATTAAGTGACATAAATTTGGACTGCGGCGCTTTTGCTGTGGAAACTGAAACGTGAATGCGCTTTTATATATATATATATATATATATATATATATATATTTTTTTTATCTCATATAAACAAAAGACCATGTAAACATTTAAGAGGAAATTCAATCAAAAGAAAGTGGAATTAAAGGGAGAGTTTACCCAAAAATGAATATTGTGTCATCATTTACTCACCCTCAAGTTGTTCCAAACCTGTATAAGTTTCTTTCTTCTGTTGGACACAGTGAAAAGTGCAAAGAAGATATTATGAAGAATGTTGGTAATCATGGGACAGTTTGAAGAATGTTGGTAATCAAACATTTGATGGTAGCCATTGACTTCCATGGTTAAAAAAAAATAAAAAACTATATAAGTCAATGGCTACCATCAAATGTTTGATTACCAACATTCTTCAAACTGTCTTCTTTTGTGTGCAATGGAACAAAGAAACTCATAGAGGTTTGGAAAAACTTGTGGATGAGTAAATGATGACTCATTTTTGGGTGAACTATACATTTAAAACGTCTAAAAAGAAGTCACCATTGTGTGACTGTAATTCGATATTGAAAAGTTCAAACATTGGGAAACAATATATCTACTGAACATGGAAGTTCTCAGGGGTGGAAGATTTTAACTGTTACCTAGTTACCACTAGAAAATGCAAAGCCAAATGCAAATGAGAACTCTCGATGAAAGCGCTTTGAAGACATGAGAGAGCTCAGCACATTTTTACACTGGAGCCAATTATGGAGAACATTTTCATGTTCCCATCACATATCTTAATACATGAAATACTAAACTCAAAATGAATCTGTGCATTTAATGAATGAGCACTGTTCTGCGTACTACTGATTGCATTGCCTTATGTATTCTTCTTTATTTTTGTTTTTAAGCTAATTTAAAATGTTTTCATGCATCTGTTATGATTTTATTTATTTTTTATGTAAAGCACTTTGAATTACAATTGTGTATGAAATAAACTTGCCTTTTTTCACATCATCACAATGAAGTGAACACAGGGTGAATTTTAAATAATTTCTGTCCCTTATTTAGCAATGACTAACCATCTATAATAAAGAAATTTTGTTTTTTATTTTGTACACTAAACATTTCTGGCACTTTGTTGGGCTGCTGCTTGTAAAATGAGTCCTGAAGCAAATCCAGTTGAGAATCCCAGTATTATTGGCACACATTGGAGGACAAGATGCGAATGCTTCTTCCTAGAGTTCATAAGACGAAAAAGAGAAGCTAACATACAGCATAAACGTGAACTCCTACAGATCAAACATGCGGTCAGGGCTGAATCGGGAAAAAAAAACTTTAACAACCATATAAAAAAGGAAATCAGTCACAGAGTTTTTATTTAAAAACAAAACATGAACCTGTACAAGCTTACAGTCCTTTATAACAGCACATAATTACAGCGGGTTGAGGACATCAGCTGTTGGCGGTGGAGCCGGGCTCTGGAGACTGCAGGAACTCATACGGGTCTTGGACCATCTCGGTCTGATCTCCAACACCCAGATGAGGTGAACTCCCTGGTCACGGTCAACAAACAAACTTAAGTTATTATTCAGAAAATGAAGATTTCTTTTACCCCACATACCCCCAAAAAATCCCACACTGTTTTTCAGACGATTGACAAAAGTACCACCAAAAAAAAAATCACTGAAATTAGTTCTTAGACCATTTCAATTTTCCAGCAATATTTATTGACTTATTATGTCTGTAGCAAGGCTATCTTCAAGGGCGAGAACAAAGTGAATAACAAAAGTAAGTCATGCAATTAACATAAAACCTATTGAAGAAATGTGTGTCAACGCATCAGTTAACCTGTTAAAGTTTATGCTTTTTCGGATATTACCTTTCATGCAGTGTGTAAAATACCTGTATGAATGTAAAAGGTCTGCAAAGTTTTACAGATCAAAGTGCTTGTCAAATTAAGTTATTGACTCAAAAGAACGCCTCGATTGTGAACTGCCGAAACGAGTCGCCAGCATATCGATCTAATCTGTTACAAATGATTTTTGTTAAATATATATTTTGCATTTTACCTTCACTTCAGCAATTTGCTGAGTGTCTTCTTTAAAAAGAGATCAACCTTAGGTCTGTATTCCAAAGCATTTATAAATTACAACTAATTAAGACAAAAATGTAGACCTATTTAATCCAGTAAAATATGTTTAACAGTCATTGGAGTTTCACAAGGAAGGCATGATGGACAGCAGCATTTAATGCCTGTGATGTATACTATAAATATGACTCAGTACCTAAATGATGCTGATCCCTCTCTGAAGCGTTTGACAGGGACGAGAGATTGGAGGATGGTCGTGAACCGACTCGGTCCACCGCTGCATCCTGGAACTCCTGCAAGAGTTTGGCTGTGTCGTCAAAGTGCTGATGACCGTCCTCATGATCCGGCTCCTTCTTCACACATTTACCTACAGATCGGACATCAATTGAACATCAATGAACCAAAAACAAACGTCTTTTAAAGTCGTGAGGTGTTGATGTGTAATATATGACTCACTTAATGTGTTGAGCATATCTAGAGACATATCCGGGTAGCTCTTCATGGACATGAAATCAAGCACTGAGCCGGCTTCATCGGTTCCCTATATACACCAATCAGAAAATCTCATTAAATGGTAGCTTAAAAGCTTTGAAACCTTTAGCATGTAATATGTATAAGTCTTACCGGCATGCCACATAAACTAGACTTAGCGTCATCAATCGGCATGTTTCTTTTCTGAAATACAAAAACAGCATTGTAAAATGTTATAATTATTTATATGCTTATATTATAGAATACAATATATCAATGTGTACACTACCGTTTAAAAAGTTTGTGGTCGGCGATTTTTAATGTTTTTGAAAGAAGAATCTTCTACTCACCAAGGCTGCATATATTTAGTCAAGAATACAGTAAAATATTATTACAATTTAAAATAGCTGCTTTCTATTTAAATATATTTTAAAATGAAATTTATTCCTGTGATCAAAGCTGAATTTTCAGCATCATTACTCCAGTCTTCAGAGTCACATGATCCTTCAGAAATCATTCTAATCTGATGATTTGCTGCTCATTTCTCATTATTATCAATGTTGAAAACAGTTTTGCTGCTTCATATTTTTGTGAAAATCTCGTGATACATTTTGTTTCAGGATTCTTTGATGAATAGAAAGTTCAAAAGAACAGAATTTATTTGAAATAGAAATATTTAGTATCGTTATAAATGTTGTTAGAGTCACTTTTAATTAATTTAATGCATCCTTGCTAAATAAAAGTATTAATGTCTTGCGAAAGTTTTCAACCGTAGTGTATATTGCTGGAATTTACTGTTCACAAAACACTAAGAAGGATTAAAAATGACCATAAAAAGTAGCTGGTCAAAAGATTAATTTTTGTTGATTTTTACTACCTGTCGGACTTGAATGACAGCCTTCGAGTGATCACCAGCCGTCATTTTATCCAGCAAATCATCCACAAGCCTTTTGGTAAAACCCCCACAACCCTTAACAAACTCCTGCAGACTAAATCACACACACACACACACACAAATCCCATCAATCAACTGAGTCAAATAAACAGCAACAGATTTTTATGAGCCGAAGGTTTGGACCAAACACCTGAGAGCGCACTGGACTCCAGTCTCGTCTCCATAAGCGGAGTAAAGCATGTCCATCTCCTCTGGAAGCAGGTCAGGATAGACAGAGTTGTTCTGAAGGGTCTGAGTGTTGTACGCACTGCTCAAAAACGTCACTGAAACAAAACAACAGGCCAAAATTGCAATGACAGACACATGCATAATATGATGTGAATCATAAATGTAAAGATTCTGGTTGTGATTCTGTTGCATAAACTGCTTAGACTAGTCTTACAAGTTAGTCATCTAACTTTTTTCTTTAGGACTGGTCATAACTTCATGTCATTTACAGCAAAAAGTAGATTTCTAATTTGAATCTGAAAAGTAAGACTGATTACCCCTCGACTGCTAGTTGGTCAGACTAGTTCTTAAGAGAGTACTTAATGATTTAATTACTGACTCTTTTAGCAATTCAGGGTCAGTACTAAATGTGATTCACAATCTTAAAAGTATTATTAATGCATGTGGCAATAGAAGATCTGTTACCTTTGTGTCTCCTGTCGTCTTTAAACCCCAGTGACGTCAGTCCAGGTATGAGCTTATTAGCCAAAGAGCTCAAATCTACAGGTTGAGTTTCTTCCTCTGTGAACAATAATCAATATTTTCTTCAGACAAATTATATTATTCCCCTGGATGAACTTTCTTCAACAGGGTTAGCTACCTTTCAGCATTGAAGTGCCATTTTAAACCCTATAAACATAAGAATAACTTTTATATTGTTAGTAATATTTCAAGATGAACACTTACTGGACTGAAGCAAATTTAAATATCCATGAATATTTTTTTGGGGGGAAATCAAGTTCAAATCATGCTTTTAAAGAATGTTTATTTGTTCATCTCTTAATCATCATTGTATTGCCTTGCATTTAATGTTTTGACCCCCACAATAAAAACTACAGAGATCATAAAACGTATCATTTAAATATCATCCTACAAAGACATTATTGGGAGATATAGAGTGACAACTGATTTTATAGTTTGTCTAAAAGTTAAATAAATTGTTGCAGTTAAACATTTTTTTTTTACTATTATTATTTTATATGTCAGGCTTTACAGGTTTAATTTTCTTTTTAATCATTGTGAAAAAATTGCAAGCAAATTACCA